AAAATGCATAATATCAGGATTTAAATTAACTATAAGTCGTATAAACTAAGAAAAAGTTTTCAAATCAATCTGTAGACTTATCAATAGATCACAGAATAGAAGTCAAGATACGAAACCGATGGCTGACTCACTTTGATTTTCCAGTAACAGTATTTGCAATTGTTCTTAATAAGTTAGGTGGTTTTATAAGCTCTTTAAGTATATTGGACTCCCGTTGCAAGAGGATACCCATTATCCAACATTTCATCAAGAAGACTTACTAGTGGGTATAAACAGTGACGCTGAAGCCAGAAATGCCATTATCAGACGACAGATCCAAACAGTCCATGTTGTAGAGTTTGTAGACGCCATTCCGATGAAAAACAGGACTCCAACACACCGAACGATGGCTCTAAACATATAAAAAACAAAAAATAGAGTAATTAAATAACTTAATTGTAGAAAATAATCAAAAAAGCAGTAGCTTGAAACTTCTCGACGACTTCTCCTTCTTCACTTAGTTGTGTTTGGTGATTGGTATATTTAACAGATGGCAGTAGGTTGAGTGATGCTGAACCAGCTGATGAAGGCAAAATCTGCAAGTCTACTTTCTTAATTTGTTTACGTCCACCTAATAAAATTACATGGCAAAAAGTAACTTTAATGAGTTTTGTTGACTAATTAATTGAATTAATTGTTATTGAATTTTTACTTTAATTCAAGTTTTATTACACCTGATTACCGTTGGTCATTATGATTGATAGTTTGTTTATAATTGACAATCTAGGGTATGTAGTGGTCCATATTTTACTTGCATTTTTGAAGTGACAGATTTTTATCTTTACTTATCTGAATTTTAATTGTTTCTTGTTTTGTTTTTGCTTCTACGCCTTGCTTTTCTTTACACAGAGATATTTTTCTTCAAAAGCACTGGAAAAAATTAATCAACAAATCCGTTTGTGATTATTTCTTCGATTCATTGAAAACTCACAACAAAACTAATGTTAAGCCGGTCATTGCAACACCACATTACTTCATCATCTCCGTTTATCGAAATCAACTATATTTTGTAGCTATTACCAGTAAAGAGGTTCCACCTTTATTCGTTGTGGAATTCCTCCATAGAGTTATTGATATATTTACAGACTATTTTGGTGATTGCAAAGAATCTCTTATCAAGGAGAACTATGTTGTTGTCTATGAACTTCTTGATGAAATGTTGGATAATGGGTATCCTCTTGCAACGGAGTCCAATATACTTAAAGAGCTTATAAAACCACCTAACTTATTAAGAACAATTGCAAATACTGTTACTGGAAAATCAAAGTGAGTCAGCCATCGGTTTCGTATCTTGACTTCTATTCTGTGATCTATTGATAAGTCTACAGATTGATTTGAAAACTTTTCTTAGTTTATACGACTTAATAGTTAATTTAAATCCTGACATCATGCATTTTATCAAAAATTGGACTTATTTTATTTTCTTTATTCTCATTACAGCGTTAGTGCAACATTACCATCCGGACAGCTTTCCAATGTTCCTTGGCGCCGTGCTGGAGTCAAATATACTAACAATGAAGCTTATTTTGATTGCACCGAAGAAATTGATGCTATCATCGATAAAAGTGGATCTGTCGTATCTGCTGAAATACAAGGATATGTGCGTACTTTTTTATTTTTAGACATAACTCACCTTTTGTATTTTCTAATGATATGTCTGTTTCATTTTTAGATTGATTGTGGAATCAAACTTTCTGGGTTACCCGATCTTAGTTTATCTTTTATCAACCCACGATTATTTGATGATGTTAGTTTCCATCCATGTGTTAGATATAGACGATGGGAATCAGAAAGAGTTCTTTCGTTCATTCCGCCTGATGGAAATTTTCGATTAATGTCTTACACTATTGGTGCACAAAATATAGTTTCAATCCCTATATTTGTAAGACATCTGATTTCATTCCGAGAAGTTGGAGGAGGCAAAATGGAAATACGAGTTGGACCAAAGCAAACTAATGGAAGAACGGTAACGCGCCATTAACATGTTTACGGAACAAAAAAATTTGCGAAATGAATTGCAATCTTTTCAGGGTTTTATCAGAATAACATCAGAACAGGTAGTTGATATTTAAACAATCAAAGTCTTGATTGTGTGTCACTATTGATAGTGTCTCAGAAAGCTCTACGGTAATTTAACTTTCGGAATGGATGCAGTTTCATGAATTTTTGAGCAAACTTGTATCGTATTAGAGACTAGATTGGATGACATTTTGATTCAACCTGCAAAATTTACTATTATTTTTTTCCATTTAGCTTGATGGAGTTGTATTGGAGATTCCGATGCCAAAGACGGTCTTGAATGTAAACCTTTCACCGAACCAAGGAAAATACTCATTTGATCCAGTATCTAAGCTATTGGTTTGGGAAATAGGAAGAATAGAAACTGGTAAAAGTCCTTTCGTTCGTGGAACCATTAACTTGCAAAGTGGTTCACCTCTACCTGACTCAAATCCAACAATTCTTGTTAAATTTACTATTAGCCAATTCGCAATCTCTGGTTTAAAGGTCAACCGACTGGACATGTATGGAGAGGTAATTGTTCTGCATATCTTGACTTGTTGTTTTTTAGTTGATGAAGTCTATTAGTTAGATTTTTTCATCGAATTCATTAACATTTCTAACGCTCTTTATATATCTTGTATGTAAATTAAGGGTAAATCAGGCTTGTAGATTTTTTAGAAGATTAGAAGAATACTTTTCGCATATTGCAAGCACATTTGAACGCATTTTGAATTATTTTAGCTGAAGTTTTCCTTTAAAACTAACATCTTTTTTAATCCAATTATCATATTAGACACTTCTCACTGAGTTGATAATTGGTACTTTTGAAAATGTGTTATAATGCTGTTTGCAAAATCAATATTACTGACTTATGATTAAATTTAATTTTAATTTTTTTTCCTTACAGAAATATAAACCTTTCAAAGGAGTGAAATATATTTCGAAAGCTGGCAATTTTCAAGTCCGGACTTAGTTTAATAAAAAACTAACTTTTTAATCGCTTAATAATCATGTTTCATTACTTCAAACCCATAATCGAATCCCAATTTTCGATAAAGAACTCTGGTTTTTATAATATCTTGATGAAAAATCTTATCGGGTTGTCCAGGAGTAAGTGAGGATGCTGATATTTTATAATTTTTGTGATTCACACAAATGGCAGAATTTTATAAACAGATGTCACAAGGTTAATTTGTTGAAAAATTAAATCTTGTTCAACTCTTAATAGAATTTCTTTATTTTATGACTCTTCGGGTAGTCTAGGATTAAGTCGTTATACACTAACTTCACGCATAAGTTAATTTTTGATAATCGCTATACTATACTACTAATGGGATAAGTAAGCATCTTATTATATTGTCCAACAAGTAATCTGTAGCAAAATGGCATTCACATCGGAGTAAAACTTGCTTGAAGAGTGGAAGCAGTAATTGTGGCTGAGTTTCCATGGTTGAGGAAGTTGAGATTGGTGCTAATTCTAGTAGTGAAGTTGAGGAGGCTTCTTGAATGATGATATCTCGTTTCTTAATCGATACACCCATACAAGCAATGAGTAAAGTCAAAGCATGAAATTTTTGCGACAAAATTGTGACCAACTGAATGGGTTCTAAAAAGATTCTTACATAGCATGAAAGCCACGATTGAACTACAATTACGAAAAATAGTCAGAACTTAATCAGAATTCAGGTTACTGAGAAATTCACTTTTAAACAGGGTGGGGGAAACCTTTAATTGTATTCAGGTTGATGGTTTATTGTTGGATTAAAATGATATGTAAAACCGTTCAGACCGAACAAAGAATCAACCCTCAACTCAGCAAAAAAGAGATCAAACCAACATTATCAGCCGGACAGCTATCCTTTTCTTGGCGTCGTGCTGGAGTCAAATAACAATGAAGCTTATTTTTATTGCACCAAAGAAATCGAAGCTATCATCGATAAAAGTGGATCTGTCGTATCTGCTGAGATTCAAGGATATGTGCGTACTTCTTTATTATCAGACATAATTCACCTTTTGTATTTTCTAATGATATATCTTTTCATTTTTAGATTGATTGTGGAATCAAACTTTCTGGGTACTTCAGCCTTAGTTTATCTTTTGTCAACCCAAATTCATTATTTTCTTAACATCAGAATAGGTAATTGATATTTATGAAATCAAAGTCTTGATTGGTATCACTATTGGTAGTGTAACAGACAGCTCTTGTATGGCTAAATGTTGCATTGTTAAGTTAACTGAAAAAATTGCAAGGTATTTTACTTGAATCAGGTTACATTTAACTTTTTGAAATGAACGAAGTCTTGTAAATTTTGAGTAAACCTTTGTCGTATTAGAGACTAGATTTGGATGATATTTTGATATAACTTGAAAAAATTTATTTCTCTTCTTATTTCAGCTTGATGGAGTTATATTGGAGATTCCGATGCCATTGATCCAGTATCTAAGCTATTGGTCTGGGAAATTGGAAGCATAGAAACTAGTAAAAGTCCTTTCGTTCGTGGAACCATTAACTTACAAAGTGGTTAACCTCTACCTGATTCAAATCCAACAATTCTTGTTAAATTTACTAATTAGCCAAGTTGCAATCCCTGGTTAAAGGCCAACTGACTGGACATGTATGGTGAGGTAATTGTTTTACATATTTAATGAGTCTTTTTTTGTCAAGGGGCTTCCCTTCTATGATCCCTTCCTTTTCATCACTTTTCTCTCTCATCTTTCTCTCTCTTTCATCTTTTCTCCCATCATCATCCACAAGCATCCTCCTTTTCCCTCTCTTTTCCTCTATTTTCCTCTCTTTCCCTTCCTCTCCCCGCTGTCTCTCTCTCTCTCAACTCAACTCATCTTATGGTTAGTGTGATTTGTGCAAGCACATGAAGAAGTTTAAAATATGTGTTTGTGTTTTTTGCCGTCAACACTTTTTTTATCATTTGTGACAAAAGTTTTATTCTTGTTAACTTTATCATGTTTCGTTGTGATCGGTCAAGCAACTTTTGATGATTCCTCAATTTACTTTGATTGTGTTAAAAAATGTGAATTCAAGAGCTTTAATGATTCAATTGACGAAGTCGCAAAGGTATGTTGTTTATTTTCTTCCATTTTCATCATTCATAAGGATTTTTCCATCAATTTTATTCTGTTTGCCCATCAACAGATAGAACATTTAAATTATTAATTGTTCAAGATACATTTCAGCTTCTATCCTTTTTGTATCATTTTTAGACCTAAAATCCATCTCGTGTTCAATCGTTACTTTCCTCATTGCTTTTTTTTAGCTACTGATTCTTCTTGGCGAACCCAATTTACATCATTGACTCGCTGTTGTTGAATCAGTTGATCATAATATCGTTTTCGAGCCGATTGATCTTGATATTGAGCTCGCTTACGATAAATAAATTGAGTTCAATGATAAATGTTTTTCAATTTGATTCTATTTCCCTTTTATGATTTAAAAGTATGTAAATAGCCACTGAAATGAGGAAAGACAATTAATATTTAAATGTCTTTAGATTGATTGCGATGCATTGAAAATGATTATACACAAGTAGTTCCTCTTCTTCATCCCAAAGTCTTCATCTTTTACTTCTTTTCGTTCATTGTAGTAAGTTTTTAAAAGCATTGTGAATGAAAACTGTGAGAAGATGAAAAGTAAGGAGTCGAGGGGAGGGGAGGGAGAACCACCTGGTTATTGATAAGTTTAAGACGCTGGAGTCAAGGAAAGACTAAGATGATGGAAACGAAGAAAAAAAGTTTCGACCAAACAGATGGAAAACTTTTCTTTTTTTCTTTTCTTTTTTAAATGGCATAAGTTTCTCGTCCAAGTTACAAGATGAGGTCGAACTGTAAATTTATGTCAAAGATTTATCCTTTTTCATCTTTCTCTCCCTCTTCATCTTACCCAACTTTAATCAACTAGAATTACAGAAACAGAAAAAACTAAAAGGGATTAATGAGCACAATGTCACTCGATGTGTTTTTGTGTTTTTTTTGTTGACTTCTTTCAACTGTGCTTGCCTCACACTGAGCTTGTTGAAAGATTGCTTGTGATTTTCCTTTTTTTGTAGCGAAAGAGGACCAAAATTTTTGGCAATTTGCAGAAGCCTGTCATCATGCAATCATAATCACTGATTGATGAATTAATTTTGCTTCTTCAAGTTTATTAAACTTAAATTTAAACACATAATTCCTTTTGGACCATATCTTTTACATATGTGTACACCCTCCAAAGGGAGTTGAGCAAATTGGCTAGATTGTGGTAAGGTGGGTCATTGATTTTTTGGGTGGAGCATCATGTTTGCTGTTAATGAGTTTCCTGTTTTTCAATTTCATCCATTTGGCTTCTTTACGGTGACTTTGTCATTTGAATAAACTCAATTGACCATGACCTCTAGACACATTTACAAACATGATAACTGATAATAATAATGAATCTCATCTCATCTTATGGTTAGTGTGAGCACATGAAGTACTATTAACAATTAATAAAATTTAATTAATTGCAATTTTATCACTTATGCGAAATTAGATCGGGTCAATTTTCACACCTCTCGAGTGGAGAAACATTTAGCATCTTATAATCGTTTGATTGATTAATCAATGGTTTTATGCTGAAAATGAATGATTAAATGTTAACCATTTCAATAAGCATTAGATTAAGAGTAACCGATGAAGACCAAAGAAGATGCTTATATTGGTAAATGTATGGATAAATTGAAGAAAAGTGAAGTTGAATTGAAGCGTCAATGGTTAAAAGAGGCGTATAAATGATGCTTCGGATCTATAGCTACAAACAAGGACTAATTGACCTCAATCGCTAGATATACATTGGAATCAATAACTAGTTATTACTAAATATTGACTTCTTTTAACAACTGATTCAAATTTATTAACAAAACAAAAACCTCCTTTCACTATGAAAGACTTCTTTTCAATTGCAACTGAAGCTCATCAATTTGCCCCTGATGTTAGATGTTGGTTGTAGCTCGTAAAAAGGAAACCAATTTTATTGCCTTATTGAGATTCAACTTGGTATCAATTATTAAATTCATTCATCCACTGATTGTTAACAATCAAAATACAACCAAGGCTCTAGTAGACAAGTTTCTCTGTTCTCAGCCTATTTTCTTGGTGCTGTTAGGTTAGTTGACTTGTATTACTAGACTTGCTTGTGTGCCTTGGCTGAAGATGCTCAATAGATTAATGTTTTATTCAGAAAATGGTCAAAGCAAAAAATTTAAATTGCAGTTTAAATGAAATTGTCAATTGTGAGAGTATGAAAGCTTTCAGTCAGTTTGTACTCCTGTTACTGAAATGAAATATGAATTAGCAAAGATGAACGAGCAAACAATGAACCATAAATTGTAATCTAATGATAGCAGCATAATCTGCATGAATATAACTTGTCTTGTAATAAGTGATGTGATAATTTTGACAGTAATCAGTTGAACCTTACCCGATCGGAGTCTTTTTACATTTCTACTGTAAAGTAAAACTAAGATCATGTGCTAAATCAAATGTATCAGTTGCAATATTATCAATAAGAAGGTAAACTGTTGCTCTGTGAAACATGATAAATTCAGCATATACTGAATCTCTTTTGTTTGAGACAGTAAGAGTGGATGTGACACTTTTTTTAGTTTTTTCACAAATCTTAGAAGACAGTTGAGCAAATGAATATAGCTAATTTAATATTTTGTTCATTTTTGAGGAAAATTTTCACATAATTTGAAATGGTGAAAATCAATGTACAAGTTGAAAAATTAATTATCGATGGTTCATTCTAAAGGTACAACTAAGGCTAAAACAGGCACCTTGATGAATAGTCAAATAATTGACAAAAGGTGTCTCATTGAGTGTCTCAAAATTTTGTAGTAAACAAAGGGTTTTACGATTTTTGATGAAACAAAAATAAAGTTTCTCGTTCACTGTTACCGTCTCAAACAAACAATCTAAGTGTACGAAGCTTTACTTGGAAACATTAATAAGATTTTAAATTAACTGCTTTTGCTTCAACATTAAACGCTCGCTCGTTTTTTGATATCCGATTTTATGCACGTTTTTATGATATTTTTTCATGCTCTATCTTTGAATTGAAAGTGACCTGAATGGTTTCTTCCGGTGGATGATGAACATGAAATGAATCGAAATGAATATTGTCTAACCTTAAAAAAGAGGAAAGGAAGAGTATTTAAAGGTAAAGGTATAACCGGTAAACACAGAGACCAGCATATAATACAAGGTAGGGAGCAGTTGGTTCTTAGGCGTGAGACGGGTTTGGCTATTTCGGGTTTAAACTAAAAGGAGGGTCCGAGAGAGAAGATGATAGAGAAGATGTATTGTTAAAAGATATTAGAATCACGGAGAAAGAAAGAGAAAGATGATGAAAATGAAGATGAAGAGAAGTCTATGGATGAGCGATTCTCCTGCTTTCTTCTCCACCGGAAACCATCTCCGTTTTTAGCCTCAAAAAAACATATTGACTTTGTTATTTAAGAAAACAGTTAACATTGAATTTTCCAGTTTTACCTTGAACATTACTTTTTATTATCAATATTGATTGTCAACTATTTTACACCAAAACTGAACGATTTCAATATTTAAACATCAGTATTGGTCATTGAGAGCCTTGGATTGAACTTTATATTGTTTAAGTCAATGTATTAATGATGAATCTCTCTAATCATTTGGCTATCTTCACTTTTCATGCAACAATGGTTAACATAACCGTTAAAGGACTTTGCATGACTTGGTACGTGGTGAGGTTACACGGGCTGGTCAATCAATCCTTTGTCCTTGTGTTACCTTTACAAGTGGCTTTTCATCTTTCCCTTTAAATGGTATGGGAACGGAAGTTAAGGAGGGAGGAGGGAGGAAGAAAGCTGTGGGTTAAGATGATGGGAAGAATAAGAAAAATGATGAAAAAACGAATCAAATGATGGACAATAAAAAAACGAAAAACGATTGTTTCTCAATTATTGCTTGATGACTGTTTTTTGTCCCTCAATTTGGTTAATTAATAGCTGGACAGGTTAACAGTGTTTTCTACCTGTTATTTGTATGAGAAACTTGAGAACTTTTTTTCTTTCTAATTGACTTTATAAATATTTCGCATTAAAATGAAACAAAAAATGTGGACAAAACTTTCTTTACAATTAATTATTAATAAGTATCTAGTAATCACAATTAGGTTTGCTCGTTAAATTTTTCACACCTTTCCTCTTCAAACCGTATTTATAACCATAAAACTGGTTAAAAACATTTTTTGGGTCAAATATTTTCATCTTGGTGTAAGTGGTTCTTTGGATTTGTTGTACTTATACAACATGTTTGTATGTTATTCAAATGCTCGTTACAGCATTAGTTTGTGTTCATTGATTGTTTGTTGGACGGTCCATTGGATATATCATCATGTATCATCAATAGTAGCAAACATGGGATTCAGGAGCAACAGATTCAATGATATGCCTAAACATTTTGGTCATTGTATAAAAGCCAGGAGTCATTTCATCTCCACAAAGATCATAAGAACCAGAGACAACTCCAATCAAATAATAGCGATTATTGCTTGGATTTAGATACATTAAAGGTCCACCAGAGTCTCCTTGACAGGCATCACCACCTGTTGATCCGTCAACGGCACACATATGGTTCTCATGGATTGGAGGAATTATAAATTTGTGAGGAAACAACCGTACAATTGGATGGGTTCGATAAAGATAGTCTTTGACCATTTCATAGCAATCCCCTTCTACATGATGATGAACAAGGAAAAAATGAAATAAAAGATAAAGGGAATTAAAATCAAACAAAATTAAAGTAGATCAATCAAATGAAGAAGATTGAATAAAGTAGACTTGAAATACTGTAAGGTGTCTGAGCAGACGGTGTGCTCAGTTGATGAACAATTTAAATAAACTTACTGCCAACATAATAAACATCGACATGTTGAAGAGCAGCCGCTGTCCCTTGATTAGGCCCTAAATGTCCCCAACCAGCAACGGTTAACCTTTGATATGGTTCGACATCATCTTTTGGTATGCAGATGGGTGATATTCTGGCTGAAAATTCAACTGGTTCAGCCAATTGAAGTATGGCAAAATCATTATTAACTGGTTTAGAAGAATCATAATTGTCGGGAATAATAAAATAGGCCACTTGACGGGCTCTTGGCAGCAGGTAAAGATTATGAACTCCTAGAAAGACCTGAACAGCCCTAGGATCACGGACGTTGCCCTTTTCATCGTGCAAACAATGGGCTGCCGTTACAACATGCCAATGGTCAATGAGAGAGCCTCCACAAAGTCCATACTGACCTCCGCCAATGTAATTGAAAAATCTGTTCATGGGAAGAAGTAAAGAAGAAAAGAGTTAACATTGAAATGTAAATAAGAAAGGAATGATTGATTGAATTAATCCTTTGATAATCCATCGAAAATTAGTTGACTAAATAACTGAACAAAGGAAAAGATAGTCTTCGAGGTTTCCGTTGTTGGTAATAATATCGACAAATATTGACATTCTCGTTGTTCGCTCAAATTGAACATTTTTTAGTTACTTTTTCATCAATAATTTGTTACAAACTGAGAGTTGACAACATTTTCGTTTTTTGTTGTTCCAGTGTTTCAATGGTAATCACATTGACTTGTTGATCTTGAACTTGCTCACATAATTATTAGCTAATCTGACTATTGATTCTTATCAAAGGAACCTTATCATAGACAAACATGCAAAAAACAAACGATAAACAAAACAACATGATTTGGTTCTGGTCAGTTGGTATCACTGATTATGATACATGAATGTAAACAAAATGTTTGTGTATTTACAATTCACCAAGTTGTTTGTTGGACGGTAAATTGGATGCAAAAAATTGTTACAAAGCTAACAATCTGTTAAAAAAGTTGTCCTAATCTTGAGCTTTTTACACTCAACTTGTTGACTTTTATCATGTTTTTTTCGTCATTTTTTGTAAATGCAAAGTGTACTTGTCGATGCATTCAATTTAGGGTATGAACCTGATTTTTGAATAGAGCAAAGAAAAAAATGGTTCCTCTTTCCGGTAATCAGTTATTTCAGTTTCTTTTGCTGTTTCACTTTAGCTCTTTGCTTTAACCAAACTTTTCCCCTCAAATCTCTAATTTAACCTCTGTAACTGCATGAGCTTAATGCAATATCCAAAAATATCAAGTTTAACATTGAAACATTGAATTTTCAGTTTTGAAAAATGAACAAAAAACAGAAGAAAAAAAGTGATGATTCTTTGCATAAAGGCCATTCATACAAACTAGATATATCGTTTCCGGCCTAAAGCTGGCCTCACCCTTGACCTCGATGATATTAATAAAGGTGAAAAGGGAATAAAGGAAGACCATAAGGTACCACAAAAATCAGTGTGAAAAGTGAATGTAAATGGAGAGGGAAAAGGGTGCAAAGGTGGGAAGATACCGAGAGTAAACTACTTCCATTGCTATTTAGACTGATTTAGATGACTGATTTGCAAAGCATAATAATGATAAAAGCATTCAATTCTGTTTCCATGTTGCCCCATCAAAGACCTGAAATTAATATTTCATTTGTTATTTGTTATTAAACCTTTTTGATTGACTGCAAAGGTATATGATTATGGGCATGAATTGAGATTAAATCATCTTAACTTTTGACATGAACTAACCTTAAATGAGCTACCCATGGGTATTGATTGGCGTATGTCTCGTTCCCGCCGTAAACTCGTTTTTGAAGGCCACTTAATCCACAATCTGTAAATTTAAAATCAAATGTTCTGTGATTAATAATAATAGTCAAAAAAGTTGACAAGTTCACATGCATCATTAGTACGCTTACAAACGATGCACTGTCTTGTCATTGAAAGCATTGATTGAAATTGAAATGTTTCTCACCACAATAATCTGCACTGGTTATCCTGATTAATCCACAAAACAGAATTAATGAGTTAATCCAGCAAGGCATCCTTTGATTAAATTCACAAACAAAATTACATGGTTATCCGGTGATCCAGTGAATCCAATCATCTGAAATAATTGTATTCACCATTGGCTATGATTGAAATGAAATCACAAAACAACACTTGAAACACACAGAAAGAGATTAAACATGAATAAAGTGAATACTGATTAACGTTGAGATTGGCGTGAAAAGGTTGAATCTTGCAGAAATCACTCAAATTGTTACAATTCAATTATCATGAATCAATTTGCACATTCAAAAGCCAAATGAAACTAATCCATGGATTGACTTTAAGTTAAATATTGTCAATGAAGATAACAAACTTTCTCTTCCCTCATTTGCTTGGCCAGCTTTTTTTGGTCCAACAGTTTATTTCAATTGTCCATCTTTCACACCTTTTCTTTTAATTTTCATCTAATCTCTAAATGTCAACTGATTTACCTCCCACTTTCACTTGATTTCCTCCTCCTTAGATGAAAACATTTCCATGATGAAACTCACTCATCAGGATAATTGTTGACATCAATTTGTATCAATCATAATTTGATTTGGAGAACATTTTTTTTCTTCTCTTTACTCTTCTTTTTGCAAAAGATTCAGAATAAACAGGAGATAAAGGCTGGATGAAACATCAGTTAAATCAATCCCTTGATAATCCAATCCCATTGAAATTAAGCCTTTCCTCTTCAAACGTTCATTTTTTTCGTTCGCCTTACTGCAACCATTTAAACAGACAATTACTTAACCCCTAATTGTTGGTAAATTGTTGAACAATGATGATTCTTGAAACCGTTAATACAAGAACGAACAAGTTGATGAAGAGAAAGTAAGAAGAGTAAAGAAAGTGAAGGAAGAAAGAGGAAAAAAGTGTGAAACAGAAAGAAAGGGAAACCGATAAAAACGTTGAAACGTTATTCAATCGCCTTAACTTGACAGGGAAGGAAGTGTTTGATGACATTTTTTTCTCAATACTAGATAATTGTCGACTTTTCTTTCTATTAAATCAAGTTCCTTTTAATTTAACTATTCCACTTTTTTTCGTCCTCCATTCTTCTTCTTTAGTTGCTTTGATACTTTTTGAAACCCTTTGTCATCCTTCAATCAGTTTCAATCTTTAATTTTATGCCAACTAATTATCATACTCCTTAATTGTGTCTCATCAATTGATGTTATGATTGAGAATCAACGTCCATTATCACATTCTTATGTCAAAGATCCTTTGGTTTGATGGTTGGTTTGCTTCGGAATAACACTTTTGCTGCAAGTGAAATGTGAAACAAATGAAAGAGGGAAATGCTAATCAAATTGGGTTAAATTGCACCTGAGAATTGTCTTTAAATTACCAATTAATTATGTTTAGTCTGGTTGTGAGTTGAGGTTCGCAGTTACCTAAAACTGTTTCAATAGCTCTCTGGTTTTACCCATTACATGAACAGTTTTCCTTCTTGGTTTTGAATCATTTTCAATGCTATCTGAGAAGATTTGTTGGTTTGTAATTTTTTTGATTAATTGGCAAAACTTTGGATCGGTTAATTGATCATGATCATTTGCTGGCCTTGGATAGAATATTTCATTCTCTGATAAAACAATTTAAATGGCAGTTAACTGGGATCACTAATAAAATGATCAACACCATTAAACCTTTTCTATCCTCTCTTTACAATACCAGTCCAAACGGTGAAATTTAATTTCATCACTTGACTTTAAAATTAAATTACAAACACACTTGATTACCAAGTAAATCAAATTTAGTCTGAACACGGTTTCAATGTTGAGGATCACCTGAACACTGAAAGTTATGGAGATTCAGTAAAGGTTAACCAAAGATGTCAAATTTAAAATTGTAATAAGATATGTTTTCATCTTTAGGGATAGTTTACAGCGATTGGTTCAACAGCAAATAAATCATACTTTTACATTTACTGATTTAAATAACTTCACACTTGATTGTTGCATGATGGCTGAGAATCAAATTGATTAAGATTTTACTTGAAAAGTGCTTTGATAGAGAAAAGTGAAGCAAAAAGGAAACGATGTGTTAATTATTGTCCAAATTAAATGTCAAATCTGTTCACTAATCATTTCTTTTATTTATTCATTAGTGTCAATTAGGATGCCAAAAATCTCGAGCTTTTAAGGACATTTCATGTCCAACTCTTTGTAACAATACAGCGAAATCATCTGCCAATCAAATTCAGGTAAATATGTTGATATTGCATTCAAAAATCACATTTTCTTTCAATTTCTACATGCTTTTGGTCCAATTTAACCAACTTGCTTGATCGATGATTAATATTCTTGAAAATTTCCTCGTCAGTTAAATGTTGAATCAATTCAGTCTCTATTGTACCAAATTTTGAATCTTAATTCATGAAGTTTAGCAAATTTTTTATTTCTTTTATTCGATTGGATAAAAAATTAGATTAATCCAATTGGCAATATTAATAGTGATTTTTGTTTTAGGTCAGAATGAAGTAAAAAATATCTTAATTACGTTAATCACTATCAAATGAAGAAACTGATTCACATATTTTGTACTCTTTTGTTGAGACTTTTTTGTTTTTTTCATTCAATTTAATTCTGAGTTTTTTCTTTGACTCTTCAACATTTAACTAAATAAGGGGAAATAATTTGACGATTATAATCATTATCACTTTTATTGTTGTTATCATCAAAAGATTGAAATAAAAATCAATATCATAATTGAGTGAAAATGATTATTATATCATCACATTTCAATTGAGTGACCTTATCATGAGCATTTAGTTTTTCATCCATTCGACTGCTTCAACTGTGCAAGGTTGCAATTAATAATATTTTTTCATTCCAATTCTTAAACAATAATCATGATAATGATAATAATATGAGAAAGAAAATATTGATAGTTTTTTCACTGTTATCGCAATTTTGATTTATTGTATCATTGAAAATATGTTTTCATTCAATGAGCTTAATCTGTCAGAATCTAAAAAAGCTATCAATCGACTAATTTTTTTTCTTCTTTCCTTTTTTCGTCATCAGGTCGCTGCGTGTTTCCGAGGATGTCGGTCATTTCGTCAGTCCCTTTGCAGTGAACTTGCCGAAAAACTTGACCCTTTGCCTCAACCACATCCAGTAGCCAATAGCATTGGCAATCAATCTTTACTCTTGGAATGGCATTCTCATCCTCAAATCAATCTCAACTATACAATTCAATATCGATATGAAGATTACATGGAAAACAATACTTGGTTTGATTATATTGAAACCAAAGACACTTTTAGACGGATCAACACGAGTTTCATTGAAAATCTCAAGCCATTCACAGGCTATCGATTCCGTCTGATTTACCAACCAGCTCCTGATTGTCCTCCTTTACATTCAATGCCCAGTTTAGTATTGCGGACTTTACCATGGGGCAGACCAAGTTTACCACCTGAGATAACCAAATTAGAAGCAGCGACACCGAATGAAATTTTCGTCTCTTGGAAAGCAACACAGTTTCCTAATGATCACATTATCGCTTATGTTTTGTATTTATACGAATATGCAGGCGATGAGAAAAGATTGCGTCCCATTTCGACTTCATCATCAAGTTCATTATCAACTTCATCACCTCAAATACCTTATTCAGCCAATTTAGCCTTGAAGTATCAATACAACCAAAGTACTCCATTGCAATACACTTTTAATGGCCTTAAAGCTTCGACACTGTACACCATTGGTCTTTCAAGTATCAACTCTCAAGGCGAAGGACCACTCACCTTGTTAAACATAACTACTCCGTTCTTCAATGAAACTGAAGGCCTTACCGACCTCACTGTGCCACCCTATCTTCTAGTTACTTCGGCAAGATCAGTTTTTAACTACACAACTGATCTCATGGATGGTTCATCTTTATTTGAGTTGGACCCAAATGACAATGTAACCATAACCTCAATCGATATTCATATTAAACGAAAATTAGTTCTCATTGCTTCATCCAATGGTACAATTTGGCAGATTGATTATCATGCTGATAGCCTGGTTGACTCCAAACCCAAAGTTTCAATGTTACCATTGCCCATCCCTGGACAAAGCTGGCCAAGCTCCATCCATAAAATTGCCATTGATTGGGTTCATGATATTGTTTACATGTTATTTGATTCTTCCATTGGTTGTTTCAACTTGAACCATTTGCCTGATTCATTCAGTTGGTGTCTCACCGGGTTAACCAATGGAACTAGAGATTTACACGTTGATCCAATCAATAGATATCTTTATTGGTCAATCTCTAATCCTTTGGGTGGAAGTGGCCTTTACCGAATCTCTCTCTTTAATTTAGCCATAACTAAATCAGTTGTCAATGTTAAACGGGAGATAATCCGTTTCCTTAGAGAACCCTTAATCAAAGTATTCACTATTGATTATTCAAGAAAACGAATCTATTTTCCTCACAATGAAACAATCTGGTCTTCATCAATGGACGGTACTAATGTTACCAATATAAGACCAAATGTGGTTTCTTCAAGATTTAAAGATGTTGCTGGTTTGGTTCATCATGATGATGCTTTTTACTGGATTTCAGGAACTGAATTGTGTAAGGAAGAGGCTAATCCAGAGGGCGAAGAGATTTATCACAACTCTTTTAATCTTGACGAGAAACTAATCTCTTTGGTTCTGGTGCATCCAACTGTACAGCCCACTCCACCAACTTACTCATCTGCCGATCATGGCATCTTGATTATTCAACCATCGGCCACAGCTGACCTGAAAACTCTTTGCTGGACTATTCTTGGATCACTCATTTTCTTTGTTATTTTATTATTTGCTGCCAAAAAAGGTACATTATTAACTCACTAATGATAATAATTTTATAACAATTTTTGTTAATTGTCTGCCTTTATCTTCCCAAATCGTATTTAAGCTTCATTGATTTTCATTTTCTTTCCAATTTCTTTTATCATTGATTTATCCGACTACTTACTAATTAATTACTTGTTGCTTTTTCCCAATCATTATTTTCCTTATTAACATTAACCAACTCTAGTCATGAAATCCCAAACCAACGAAAAAGAAGTTTTGAAAGATTCTGAACGAGGCCATGAAAGGAATCTCATAAGCTTAGCTCAACTTCCAAATCATCCACATGAAGATAATCGCCTCTATTTACCAGGGTAAGTTGACGTGAACTAAAATAAAATGTAAAACTAATTCAGATAATTTAACCAATTAATTTAATCTTTCGTTTTCTTCTTACAGAGATATTGGAATTGAGAATGAGTTATCATCCATAAGATTGATATCGCCAACTCAGTTCAAGAAAACTGCCTATTTGGGTCAAGGAGCCTTTGGTGAAGTATTTGAAGGTTTATTCACCGACCCTGAGCTGGTTGAAAGTCTAGATGCTCCTGTTAAGGTAGCAATCAAGGTATGTTACAGGCAAATTCATTAAACAACAGAACGAACATTGAAAATGTCAAAAAACTGTCTTGAATAATTACTTAATTTGCTAATTGTTTTTTCCAGACTCTGAAATCAGGATCATCAGAACAGGAAAAAGACAATTTCATCCAAGAGGCTAAAATGATGGGCAACTTCAAACATCCTCATATTTTGAAACTTCTGGGAGTCTGTCTCGATCCAGGAAACAATTCAATTTTACTAGAACTCATGGAAGGAGGGGATCTTCAGTCATACCTTCGATCGATGAGACCCACAGAGAAGAGGCCGTGTCAATTGACTTTGGACGATCTTCTCAGTATTTGTGTCGATGTGGCTAAAGGTTGCCAATATCTAGAGGCTATGCACTTTGTTCATCGAGATTTAGCTGCTCGTAATTGCCTTGTATCAAGTTATAATCGAGAGACTCGAATAGTTAAAATTGGAGATTTCGGTCTTGCTCGTGATGTTTATAAAAATGATTACTATCGTAAAGCTGGTGAAGGTTTACTTCCAGTTCGTTGGATGGCTCCTGAAAGTTTAGTTGATGCTATTTTCACCACACAATCAGATGTCTGGTCATTTGGTGTTATCCTGTGGGAAGTTATGACTTTAGCTGAACGACCTTATCCAGCTCGGAATAACCAAGAAGTATTGAAATACGTTAGAAGTGGAGGTCGCCCTGAAAGGCCACCAAATTGTATCGATGAAATGTAAGTCAAAGATCAATCTTGAAACTGTTGTTCATCGACTAATATCTATCTTCTTCTAATAAACCATTTTCAGGTTCCTTTTGATGAATCAGTGTTGGGAATATGATCCATCCATGAGACCAACATTCATGGCATGTCTTAATTACCTGGAAGAGTTAAGACTCAAAGTTACCTCGGATGGTATTATAACCAGTTTCTCGAACCACAGTTACTACACAAACGGTAAGAAATCGCAAGTTTCGCTCATGTTTATTGTTGCACGGTCAAAGTGTTGGTTAAATGACAAATCGCACGGTTTTTTGTACCAAAATTTAACCAACTGGTCTTGATCATCTTTGTCTGAATTGTCTTTGTCTAAACTCTATCCTTTAATTGATTTATCATAACTTGGGTTTTCGGTTTCCTTCAATCGCATGTTGTTGTCCTTTTTATCGAATCAATCCGTTGATCGGTTTATGCATGAAAGTTGTTATTGGTTTTATTTTTCAATTTATTGCACATTTTGCACTGCTCTTGATCACTTCTAACTGCTAATGACTTCAACACTTTTATAAATCGCAATTTAACTCTGAAAGCGATTCAGTTGAAAGCACGACTTTGCTCTGTCATAACACTTGCACCACCGCTTTTATTTACTCAACTAAAATTCACAATAAACTTACTCGACATCGGTTTTTTTGGTGCGTTTTAACATTATCCTGCAGGAGCCTTTGAAAATTTTGGATTTTATTGGGATCATCGACTATTCGTTAGTCAATTACAAAATATCAATTCCACTAACCAGCATTATGTCGTAGTTTAATCAATTAAAGAAGATTTCGAACCATTTGGAGATTTAATTTGAACGCCAACTTAACATGAAAAAATACACTTCATAACACATTGGGTTAAAGTAATCATAATCACATATTAACTTCTTTCCATTATTTTTCGCTAATAACAATATTTTCGCTACAAAAGAAACAAAAGGAACTTTCAACATGCGATTTAATACGAATCATTGAACCATAGAAGTATTCTTATCCTGGTTTCAATTGATTCTATTCTTTCAGATGGATAGATTGTCACTTTTATGCCTAAGCCTTTCCCTTCAACCTTTTATTTGCAGGATTTTATATTAAATTTTGTTTTCTTTCTTCTCAGGTGCTTCTTCCGAGTTACGATTTTTCACTGGTGGCAACAGTAACCTCAATAGTACCTTCAACAGCACCATGGACACAGCAACAACTTATTGTGCTTCTTCTCGGGCTGAAAGTATACATTCAAAGTATCTCAACATATCAGTTGATCATGAAGGATACGAGATTCCAATATTAGGATGTTCTGGTGCATGTGGCATGGATCATCAAACAGACCAACATTGTGAATCTCAGCCGAGAAACTCAGGTTCTCACCAACATCGACAAATGTTTGCTTCTCTGATGGGCTCACAACGAAAGAGTGGACCCAAATGTTCTAAATCCATGAATGGATCACCACCACCAACCTATTCACAGTTGTTTTTGAGCTCATCAGCAGCGTCTGCATGGACTGACAACGGTTCGCCTGAAAATCAATCAGAAGTCAATTCATTAACAGATCAATCCAATTCTGAAACGAATCATCAAAATCACTCACAAACTGGAAGCTCGGAAAGCTTAGATGAAGTACCAGAAGTTACATCAGTGACGACTGCGTTACTCAAACCAATCGAAGTGAATGATCTGATGAATCAACCTCCAATACAAATTTATCGCAATTTGAGTGACTTAATGTATGTGAATGACATCGCTTCATTGCTTGAACCCATATCATTGCCATTGACACTATCACTGCCATCACCATCAAGATCTGAGTTCACAACCAATTCATGTTCAAAATCAAATTGTGATCAACAAACCTTCAAAAATCAGCATATTGATGTTGATAATACAACGTTTACGAATCTCTATACAAATTGGAGTCCATTAAGTATGAAGGAAGCTTGTTCAGAATTCTTGGAATCAGCCTCAAACTCTGAATCCATCCAAGAAGCTGCTTCTTTCAGTCAAATGATACCATCTTCGTCTTCACCTTTACCACTACAGAACGAGTCAAAAGATTCAAGTCATGATCAAGAAGAGGAATCAACAAGTCATACTGTAGTCAACAAGTTTTCATTTGACGATTCAGATACAGCATTTTGTTAATTCATCTCGACGTCAATCCATTCAAACACCAAAAAGTTTTCATTTTTTATTAATTGTTATATAAATTAAATTAGATCAAAGCATCTTGTATATAAGGAATTTTTTATATGTCAAACTTTATTCAATAACGAAAGCTCAACCAATGTAAATCGGCATCAAATCAAACTCACTTTCATATTTTTATTTATCTTTTAAATTTTTTAATAAAATAAACACTTTATTTTACTGACTCACTAATCACAATGACTCCAAGTGATAAACACTCCAACTTAAATCTCATGACTTCTGGGTCCACTGGCTAATTAGTATTCATTACAATCAAGTCGGTATCTCACCTGCGGTCCAACCAATTATACTTATTAGCGAAATGAAAGGGAATTTCTATTCCAAGATAAAGAACTAATTGCTAGTTCATTACTTGTCAATAGCTCTCCAGAAATTGTTCCAGTTTATCGTAAGATTCATCTTTTCGAAGCTGACATTCCTGATGCCTTGCATATCGTTGAGTTGCAGTTGCTGGTCACTAAATAATCCCACCTAAACAAATTCCCATTGAAAAACTTGGAATTTGTTCTGATATAATGTTCCCTTAGCAAAAGATGAAGCCGACGTCTCGACCTATCCTTCAGCATCTTCACTTGTTGACGGCTTTTAGCAAGCACTTCGTGCTCGTGTTATTGACAATCGATGTTATGTTGAGGAGGAGCTCAAATCACCTTTCATAATAGCAAATGAACTTCGAAGGACCATTCCATAGTAATTGACCCAAGGGTAGTATAATAAAGCTCAATTTAGCTCAAGCGGGTTAAGAAGTAGGTTAGCAATAGGTACAATATCCCACAAATAACTAACGAAAACCTGAACTGTAGGTGAAATATTTACTTAAATTAATAAATAATAAGAAAGATTTATGGGAAATTTTAGTGAAAATTTATCCAAAGCTTGTATTTATTTCAAAACAAACCCTTCGACCCTTTTTTATGACCTCAATTGTTTAAGCTTTTCAGTGAATAAAACTTAAAATCTTTAAAAATTATACACAAATCATCAAAGTCCACATAGCAAATTCTTGACCTTTAAACGAAGTATGATATTTTGAAATATTGACGAAACCTGCAGGGCTTCACATGTTATTACAGATAACTTTGTAGTGTTAATTCAACCCAAAACTAACAGGAAAAAGGGAAAAAAGGGAAAAAACAAGAAGGGAAAAAATAGGGGAAGTTAGTTGAGAGTCGGTGCAGTTTGATTTGCCTTCAGACAAACAATTCTCACAGTTCAGATTGACTGTTTGTGTTGTAAATCTCATTTGTTAATTATTAAATTTAACTGTGTTAATCTAGTTTTTAATTAATTAAATAGTATTATAATAGTTATCTCAAAATGGCTCTCAGCAATGCAGACGTCCAAAAACAGGTAAGAAGCAATTGTAATTCTTTTAATTCAAATCACAATCAATAATTCTTTTTCAATGTAAATGGCAAGTATCATTGAAAACTCCCATCTCTCTCCTCTCTGGTGATGATTATATCAATACCATTTGAAGGACTTACCTAATATCCATTTTCTTGTTACTATTCATTTATTATTTTTTGCTAATTTGTCCCCAAATTATGGGTCCTTCTAATGCGTTTATATTTTTCTATTTTTGTTCTATTTTTTACTCTAATATAGATTTCCCACATGATGGCTTTCATCGAGCAAGAAGCTCAAGAAAAGGCCGAAGAAATAGAAACTAAAGCTGAGGAAGAGTTTGAAATTGAAAAAGGTAGACTGGTGAATGAACAAAGGATCAAAATTATGGAATATTTCGAAAAGAAGGAGAAACAGGTCGAACTACAAAGAAGAATGTAATTTAAAGATTATGTTTCTGTGCTAACCTAAAAATCTATGGAGATAGCAAACACAAATCACTTTGTAATTTTCTGTGCAAAAAATTGCATTTTAAAGTTACACTTAATTTTCTGTGACTAACAGTACAGGCATATACTACAGTATATGTCGACAACAATTTAGTTCATAGATGACATAATTAGCATCAATTAGGCGTAATTCACGCCTCACATTTCGTGATTTTGTCTGTTTGCATTCAAGATTTTGTGACTATTCTAACATATGCTTATTAATAATTATCAACATTTCTTGCTATTATTTCTTATTTCAGCCAAAACTCTCACATGTTAAACGCTGCCCGATTAAAGGTCCTCAAAGCTCGAGAAGAACATATCAAAAGTGTTTCAGAAGAAGCTAGACATAAACTTATCGAAGTAACTAAAGATCAAGACATGTATTCCAAGGTTATGCAAAAGCTAATTGCTCAGGTAAGTTGTTCTTTCGAATAATTGAATGGTAAATGGTCTAATTTTAATTATAATCCATAAAACTGTAGTGTTTATTTCAACTGTTGGAAGAACATGTTTTAATCAAATGTCGCCAACAAGATAAATCCCTAGTCGAAAATGTTTTGGAAGCTGCTGTAGAGGAGTACAAACAAGCTACCAGTAAAAAAATCAAAGCAGTTTTAGACAATGAAAGATTTCTTGCTTCTGATTCGTAAGTTATTCTCTCTTTGTAAAATTGCACTTCCAATAAACCTAATCAACTCATCGTTTTTTTATTGTTCTTCTAGATGCGGTGGTATCGAAGTTACTGCTCAAAATGGCAAAATTAAATGTATTAACACACTTGAGAGTAGACTTGAGGCTATTTCCCAGCACACGTTGCCAATGATTCGGGTTGCTCTATTCGGTCGTAATCCTAACCGTAAATTTGATGATTGAGCTGGTCTCCATGTTTATTCATCATATTTTTTGTGTGTGGTTTCGAGTCGTATTGTTATATTTTTTTCTTATATATCTTTTTTTGGTTGCTGTTCACCAAGAAATGGACTGATTTCATGTCCTGTGATACGATTAGGTTATGAAAGAATGTTACATTAGTCCAAGCATTCCAGAGAATCATACACACAACAAACTCATACGCAACACAACATATTCTACCTTTTATTCTGTTTTCCTAATCAAGTGTTTTTTTCTCCTTTGTGGAATCAGTTTGAGCAAAACTATTCGCAGCAATCAAGCAAGATCATCGTATCAGATTATGGTGTAATTTAAGATTATATAAAGTATAATCCAGATGATTAAATATACCAAAAAGTTTACGTTTTTATGTTACCTTATTTACTTCCATGTAATCTAGTAAAGTTGATTGTTTTGCCATTTTCTCAGTCAAACATAAAAATGGTTATCTCAATTTTTTCAAAACTTGACAGTTTCGAACTGATTTAACTCGGTTACTCGGATTCATGTATCTCAACGACTTTTCGTGTGTTTTTATCTTCGCTGATTTAGAAGTTATGAAAATTTACACTAAAGGGTTTTGAGTTTTTCCTATCATTAGAGGAATCGTTTATTAATTAGAAACACATTATCTCTTTACATTTATATAAATAGAGATGAATTCTTGATTCAATCTATTCAGTACAATTCAATTGTTTAAGTAAACAAAATGAAAATGCAACATCTTATGACAAAGCCAATCAATCTTAAGTAAATTGATTTTGAAATTAGTAATTAGTATTAAAAGATTGCACTTGGAATGAAGAGTATTTAGGAATGAAATGAAACCAAATCGCTGGTATTTGGTTTATTTCGTTATTTCGTTAATTCGGAATCGATCACTTTCAGTTATCTTGAGAGATCCAGTTTCGTTTCGTATTTTTATTCTGAATCATCATCATCTTGAACGGGTATCCAATCACGAATATAATCATCTGGAGCTTGTTTGATTAACTTGGTAATATCAGGAACATTAAAGAGCAAAGGATTCAATGGACGTCGGGAGCAAACAAATGAAGTCGGTTGAGGAATACAAGCTTGAGCAATTTGATCAAAGAAGTGATTGGTCGGACACTGTACGAGTGAACCAATTAGATTACCACTTGAGGACGATTTACAGAGATAAAATTTATCACAATCAATCTCAAACTGATTAGTTCCTTCTTGTTCACAATTGTACAAATTGGTTTCTTCTTCAGGATCAGAGGTTAATTTGTCTGGATGTGATTGTGGAGATTGAGATTTGCCACTTCTATCAGATGGATCATCACCTTCAGATGGTTTAGCTTGATCATCATCTTTAGATTCTGTTGAAGGCTCGTCCGAGCTTTTTTTATCACATGGAGGAGCAGCATAAGGCCAATTGCAAACAGAGATTCGTTCATCAAACACCAATCCTGCTGGACAATCGAAATCAAATTTCTGAAGGTAACTACCAAAGTTAACGCATCGATAAAACTTGTGGCAATTTGATGGATTACGGTAAAATCCCTCTGACTGACAATTTCCTTGAGGAGATGATTCGCTTGATTTAGGCGATGGTGATCCTTTTGGATCAACACCTTCTTCACCACTTGATTGAGATTCATCAACTGTTGGCTTCACCTTGGGTGGTTTACCCTTAGCTTGAATTTGGCCTTCACCGTCGCCCTCTTTATTCTCATCTTCTGATTGCTCTTCAGTGTTGTCACCTTTACTTTCTGGTTTTTGACTTTCCTTATTTTTAGGTTCATTTTTCTTTGGCTTTTCAGGTTGTTTCGATTTATTTGGCGCTGGTTTTCCACGAGCTGCTCCTCCTTTGGTTGGTGTCTGTTTTGGTGGAGGTACATCTACAGCAGGTTGTTCTCCTTCCATTTCATCTTCTGATTTCTCCTTATCATCTGGTTTCTGTTCGTCTTCTTTGTCATCAGTCTCCTTCATCGTATTACATGGTGAACTAGCATCTTCAGGAGAAGTACAAGTTGAGACGGATTCATCAAATACTAGTCCATCTGGACATTTGAACGAGTATTTGGTCATACCAGGTTTACCCTCGATTGGAGTACATCGATGGAATTTATTACAATCTTTTGGATCTCTAAAGAAACCAATATTTTTACATTCAAATGGACCTTTTGGCGTTGATGGTGATAGGCATTCATCTACCTTTTTAGACTCGTCAGGAGCCGTTGTTGTTGTGGTTGGCGAGGTCGTTGATGGCTCTGCAGTAGTTGGTTTAGCTTGAGGCTTTGAGTTTTCTTCAGGCTGTTGAGAACCTTCAGTACTTTGTCCTTCATCTTCAGGTGCCATTGTTGAAGATGGCGATGGTTTGGCTGTGGTTGTTTTTGATGTGGCATCTTGTTTTTTTGTTGTGCTTGACAATTCTTTCTGCTCATCTTCGTCTGATTTTTCATCCTCTTCATCCGACTTTTGGCCAGATTCTGATGGAGTCGTGGATGATGGCTGAACAGTTGATGTCATGTTCATCGATTCACTTGTTTCGGTAGTTGAACTTGGTTCGGGCTCTTTTGTTGTAGCTGGAGTTGTCGTTGACGAAACTTCAGCTTTTGTCGATTGTTCTGTCGGTGTTGAGACCTTGGAATCTTCCGTTTTTTGTCCCTCATCTTTATCGCTATCCGTTTTGTCATCCGTCTCTTTCTTCGGTTTTTCATCTTCTTTATCTTGTTCTTGTTCTTCCTCTTTTTGTTCTCCGTCCTTTTCATCATCCTTCTTTTTATCCTCTGGTTCCTCTTTCTGTTCCTCTTTTCCATCTTTTTTCTCACCTTCATCCTTTTTATCATCTTCATCATCTTTCTTTTGTTCTTCGCCTTTTTTATCATCCTCTTTCTCCTTTTCTTGTTCTGCTTCTTTCTCTGGTTTCTCTTCCTTTTCCTGCTCACTTGGAGTTGTAGATGATGAGCCTTCGGTACTTGACTCTTCTTTTTCTTGACTTTCAGTCATCATTGATGACGATTCTGAGGTTGAACTTTGTTTAGGTGTTGTCGGGGTTGATGAAGATTCCGTTGTTACAGAGCTCGGTTCTTCAGTTTCTTGTTGACTTGAAGCCGTAGTTGAGCTTGGAGTCATCGACTCTCCTACAGAAGGCTTTGTTGTTGTCGTAGTCGATGAACTTTCTGATGGCTCCGACGTCTCTTCAGTACTTTGACTGGATGTCGGTTCAGAACTTGATTCTTTAGTGGATGAAGGAGATTCGGTTGTTGACTGAGACTCATCGGTAGTATCTAAAATAAATGAATAATTAACATATTAAGATTAATAAACATCAATCAATTGATAAAAAACTATTGTTACTTACTTTCTGGTTTTTTAGTCGTAGTTGGTTTCTTGTCGCCTAACGGCTTCTCAGTTACTTGGCTTTCTGGTTTTGCTGTTGGTCTACTTCCCTTTTCAGAGCTTATTTTTGTTGTACTCGTTGATTCAGGTGTCGTTGAAGTTGGTTCCTGAGTTGTTGTAGTTGGGGTTGTGGTTGTGGTTGTGGTTGTGGTTGTAGTGGCCATTGTCGTAGTTGTACTTTTTGGCGTTGCCTTAACGGCTGGTTTCTTCGTTGTCTTATCTTTCGTCCCTGTTGATGGCGTTGATTTACTTTCAGGCTTTTTGGTAGGTCGAGTTCCCTTTTCTGAGGGTGGCTTTGCTGTTGTGCTTGTTGTTGTTGTCGTCGAAGCTTGTTTATCCTTACCTTTCGAAACTGGGGCTTTAGTAGTTGCTTCTTTAGCCCCTTTGACTGGTGGACGCTCTTTAGGAGGTTGCTGTTTAGATGAAGGTTTAGTTGGTCGTTTCTTTGATGGCGAATCATCCTTCTTGGGTTGAATTGGTTTTTCCTCTTCTGGTTTGTCCTCATCTTCGTCTTCAGGGTTCACAGGTTTGGGAGTTGTGGTACTTGAAGGCGACAATCGGCGTCTTGGACTAGGAGCTGATGGTGTTTTAGGTTTTGCTTTAGGTTTTGCGGTTGTTGATTTAGCTTGAGGTGGTCGACGTTTACCAGGTGGAGGTGGATATGATGAGGGTTTACTCGGTGGTTTAGGTTCACTCTCATTTGGATAACCAGGTTGATCTTGATCATCTCCTGGTGCATCTTGGTTGTCTGGTTGAGTATCTACTGATGAAGGAGGTTGATCTTGTTCATCTGGTCCACCACAACCAGGAACTTGATTAGGCCAGTTACAGACTGAGGTTCTCTCATCAAAAGCTAAACCTCCGGGACAAACGAATTTATACTGAAGGAAATTTCCTTTATCATCAGGCACACATCGATAAAATCGTTTGCAATTGGCTGGATCACGGAAGAAACCTTCACTGGTACATTGAGGACGTTTCGATTTTCTTTTTGTTTTATCGGCACTCGAACCACCACTTATGCCATTCTCATTTTCATCCATGCGATTACGACCAGTTCGAGATGAAGATGCTGATGGTGGAGCTGAACCAGGTTTACATCCATTTTTAACAGCATAAGGCCAATTACAGACACTTAAGTCTTCATCGAAAACAAGTCCAGCCGGACAACTGAATTGATAAACTGCATAATCGCTTGTTCCTTGATCAACACAACGATAAAATGACGAGCAGTCTTGTGGATTTGTGAAGAATCCTTCATCTGGACAAGGAAGTGAAGATTGGCCTGAAGAAAAATTGGGTACAATTGAAATAGAAAAAGAAAATAAGTAAATATTTTGTAAATAATTGACCAAATATTTATCATTACCTGAGGTAGACAAGGTGAGTGATAATAAATTGGCAATGAAGATGAGCAATTGGCATGAAAATGACATTTTGATTTCTGAAAATAAAAAGTAAAATTGTTAAATTTTTATCATGTAATATGGGAACATGAACAATGAACAACAGTAACAATGATCAAATCATTATTAACGATTCGTCGACTTATTCAATCAATTTTATTCAATTGTTGGTAAACAAAATGAATATTAAATCTCTCACAAATCGAAGTTTACAATTAACTGAATTGCTAAATTATCCACAGTTAATCAGAATCTCTCCTCCTTTTTTCGCCCACAAAACGATCAAATTTTCCCTCAATTTAACTTTTACCACTTTTGCCTAAAATGTGATACAAACACACAAAGCCAACCTCCAAAGGAAATGATGAAGATGATGAAGAAGATGATGTTTCTTAATGAATGCAAAACGTGCTGATGATTATTCTTGTTAGGCAAGGAAGAGCTGAATCGTTACCTTGACCATGAAATGAAAGTAAAATGATAATGATTCAGCTTTTAATGCAACAATAAACGATGAGAAAGGTCAATATTTAACGCTATCAAAGCGAAACATTGACCATATCATTGAGTGTTTATTTATTATTAAATTTGATTCACTTGTTCAACAGATTAGTTGAAATTTGTGATCAACATTACATGTATCATTAAAACTGATAATCCTGGTTAAACTTTTAATTTAATCCCATCAATCGGCCATCAATAATTGATTATTGTTATAACAATCATCAATTGGTCCAATCAACCTCATCATTTCAGCATTTTAACTACTTTAATGTTTACATCTATTAGTCTGTAAACTATTACGCTTAATTGTTGATATTATCACAATTTGTAATAATTATTAGGGAAGCTTTGAATAGCTAGTGAGTTAAGTTGTACTTTTGATTGTCTGAAAGTGATGAGCCAAAACAAAAATTCAATTTAACCATTTCAATACAACATGTAAATGACTGTTTAGATTTTTATTTTGCCTTAAAATTTACTGATTTAATCTTAAACATTGTCTTATGATTAACAAGTTGGCGAATTTAATCGTTTAAATTTGAATTTGTAGAAGTCGAATTTGATTGACCAGAAAATCGACGATTAGTTAATCTGTTCAATGATCAAACCTGTGAATTAACAGTCATTCACTTTCTTTCAATCTTAGCTTTCTAATTTCTGTGATTAATGAATCAGCTCATCAGTTTTCGATAAAACATCCAAACATCCGAATCGTAACAATCAAGCGTATTATCAATAGATTATTGTATGTTGAGATCCAATGAGTCAATCGATGATTGTTTCAAGTTTTTGAATATGAATCTTTTATTCAGTATATTAAAGACTCTTGAAGTATCTTGAAATTTACAAAGATTTGAATGATCTAATAGCTTTGGCTTTTCTTAACATAATGATTGACTAAACTAACAATTCAAAGAAAGCTGAGAAAAGTAAGAAATGAAAGCGTAAAATCCCCTGAAAATTCAATTTGAACTTGCCCATAACTCACGATGAATGCCTAAAGGTAAAAGCCTTAATCCAATGAAACAAATGATTACCATTGAGATTGCATCCAATGTATTATTGTAAGTTTTCAATTCATTAAACTCTGTGTTTTTTTCAATTGGAATTTTGTTTAGCAATTTCAAAATCATGTTTTCATTGGTCTATCCATTCATTCATTACGAATACAAATCAACACTAATTACTGTCAAACATAAATCCAATACATTAGAGCCACTTAATTGTGAATTATAACGTTAAAAATATACAATAGACAAGGTTAAATTGCTTTTCAATTTTACCTTTTCAATCATTTGTTAACAAAAAATGTCCGTAAGGTTAAAGATGCGCTCAAGTCAATCAGTCCTGCAGATGACGACATTGATGTACAATACTAATGTTGATAACACGATAATGATCATTCAGAAACATCAGCATGATGATTTCATAAGAATACAACTTTTAGTATGAAAAATGAACTAAACAAAGAAAAAAACAAGCAAATCTAAAATGAAATTTACAATGAAATATGAAATTAAGCAAATACTACCAAAGATGCCTAACATTTATCTGGACATGAAATTTGAACAAAGTTTGAAGACTCAATATTGATCAAGATCAATCTTAGAATTGATTGTTTCTTAAGTAAATTTAACTTTTTTATCCTGTAACGAGATTGGATTTCATCCAAAGAGTTGAAGTTCGTAAAAATTCACCAGAATTCATTCGATTATTGATTCTATTTGATAATGAAAAGCTATTCAAACTCAATAACTCATTGATGTTACCCATAATAATTGTCAAATTCTGTTATAAAATGTGTTTCAAAGAATCCCTTTGAAATGTAAAAAAACTTTAATTGCCTAAACTCGAGATCTATAGTAATCGAGTCTAGTTGTAAATAGATGTCAAGTTATTGCCACAATCATAATCTGAATGTAACATACAATTTTACTTTCAAAGTTTTCTTCCATTTATCTTCACGTTCGTCCTTTTAGCTTTTGTTTCTGTATCTTTACCTGAAGATAACATGATTTTGATGATGAGGAAGCTAAGAATGAGAAAAGCTGAGCTAGTTGATAAAATTATATACGAGCTTAACTTATTATTAAGAAGGTCGAGGTTAATCACGTTGTTTGTTTTTACCTGTATTTTACACCATTATAATCATTTTGTATGTGAATCTCCTGACGGACACTTAACAATGAAATTTAACGTGTAAAATAATGATTTTTCATGAACACGGCAGTGAATTTGAATCACCTTTTTAAACATTATTTTAAATCAAATTCAGATTGAATCCAATATTATAACTGTTATGGGAAAAAATAAAATAGCAAATAAAAAACTTACCCAAAGAGATGGACTTGTATGGCAACCTTTAACCACTTCAAAGGCTTTTGTTGACCAGTGTTTCAAACCTTCAAATTTATTCAAACTTGCTGTCCTTTGGTCAGTTCGAAGGTTAATCAATGTTTCAACTCGAGATAAATACAGTTACAAAGTGAAGATGAAACATTTGAAAAAATAAAAAACCAATCTCAATGGACATGTAAATGGCTTTGCTTTGATTTTGAATTAATTTAACAAACAATTTGATGGACAATTGAATAAAAATCAGTCAACAGATTAATTACATTGGATCACAGTTAATTGAATGAGTTATTGAAAACTGATGTTGATCAAATGGTAAACAGTAAACAACTAAGACTGAGTAAAAGCAGGCCTTACTTAAAATGGGTAACAGTTTCTGTGTATTTATTGGGTTGGTATAACCTTTGTATTTGGATGGGCTTGAAGGAGCGGTTAACAGTTTTCAGATGGACACCAACGAGTATCATGAAGAAGAAGAAAGGGTTTGATAAAGGAAAGAAGAGTTACATAGAAGAGGAAGAAAAGGTGGAGATGAATAATGAATAATCCTCATGAAAGTTCCTCCTTGATAATATTTCATGTTTTCTTCGGACTTGCAGAAGATTACACTTTCAAGTTAATACAATAGTAATTGTAAAATGTTAATTTTACACTGTTAATGTTAATTGGCAACCTTAATTTTACAATTTTAATTGTTACTCTGCAACTTGTTCACCATTAATGTTTACCGGTTTAGTTTTTTTGGTTTCTCAATGGCAATCACTTTGACCAGTTTCAATGTTTCATTTCAAGTCCATTGACATTTATTTCATTTACCAACTTGACTGATTCAATTGTATCAATCAGCCGTTCAAATTATTAATTTTATTGTTGTTCAACAATTCAGTTTGTAACTGAACAATGTGATGTTCAGCTGTTTAACAGTTAATTGTCTAGACCTTAAACAATTTCAAATGAAATAGAGATCAAAATTCTGAATAATTTAATTTTATCTGAACCCATAATTAAGCGATTACAATCATTCAATCAACGGCAAAATCACGATTAATGCATTTCAGCCATTATCTTACGAGATATAAGAAAAAAACCAAAAAGTCTCAAACTTTTTCCCCACAGGTTATTATTTGTTGACTTATCGGAAACTCTAGTCAATATCTCACCATAGGACTTGATATGATTGAATATGGTCATTTCAAGGTAACTTAATGACCTCAGTCTTTTCATAATGCAGATACACTGTACTATTATTAACGAAATTTCGTTAACTAAATTATCCATTCTGACAATAATTCCAAGTTATGTTGATTCCATCATTTTGCTGTTGTTGTACCATTTGGCTATTCTTTAACAAACATCTTTAATGATTGAAAGAAAGAAATTAAAATTGAGAAACAAAAATTTAAAGCTAATAATTGTAGTTGTATCCAATTTATATTCACTTGATTTATGAGTGAGAAAAATTTAATCATTTTCGTTCATTTGTGATCATCATAATCATTTTGAATGTTGCGCTTCGTTTTATTTCCCTCACTTTTTCCTTTTATCCAATCAGATTGTCTAATGGTCTATGGTTTTTGCATGTTTTTTGCCATAGCACTCATTTGATTGTATCATTTTGTTTTTCTTGTTTATAAATTGTTGATTAATGATGAAATCAATTTCCATCAACACTAAATTTAATATTTTGTATACAATTATCGCTGTTGATGATCAAAAATTCACCTCGCTGGATTTAACTTCGTTTTCCCTTTCTGCTGTGTAAGACTTACTTTGATGATTGTGTATTCGTAATTTTTTGCCTGTTAACAAGTTGATTAAATTATCACTTGAATACATGATGACTACCAGTACTACAATTGCTTTAGTAACTGTTTTAAATTTGGTTTTAAAACTTATTAAATTGTGAAGAAGAACAAGTAATCAGGTAAGAGAAGTGATTCTACAGCCTAAGGCAAACTCTCACTAAGCAATAAGTTACTTTCTTGAGAAACAACAAAATCTCTACACATCTTTATGATTTTGTTTACCTCATTACCATTTAACTTTACTTATCATGCATCCTTCAATTAATTCATTATTCAATGTCTCAATTTAGATACCTATTAGTCTATTTAAACAACAATTAAACATATCGAATCTTGGATTTTGGTCTGATTTTGGCTTGGTGTCTATGATGTGCAGATCGTAGATAAGGTTTGGCGTTGCTGTTAATTGCTGTTAATCATGATAACAGAAAAACGTGGAATTTATAATTTTCCTTCAATTTAAATAATAAATGGAAATCGCTAATTACTGTTACCTAAATGGCCATTAACATGTGATATGAATTAATGCCTTAATTTGAGAAGAGGCACATTTATTGATACACTGTTTATCAAGGAATAATCTTTTTTAATGATTGGTTAATGACATTTGGTAAATCTTTGATTGTTATCAGATTATCATTTCAAATGGACATTTCAACTCTTCCTTGAATACAGATTTCAAAATGATTTTCCGAGTTGAGAGAAGGAAATTGAAATGAAAGGATTTAAACCTAGGAAATGGTGAATAATTTCACTACATTCAAATTCAATTTCATCGACCATTTTATCAATGCCGATAATCGACTCTACTTACATTTTTCATGTAATCTTCTACTTGGCTCATTTCAATTAACTGAATACCAATTATCAATCAATTGTACTGCAATATCCACAGTTGAATACACTTTTGTTGTCAAAATATTTATACTCAAACAGCTTATCTTAATCTTTCTCTTCCACTTGAAAAGATTCGCATTTGACTATATTTTCTTAATCCTTATTATGATTGATTGTAATTCATTTTAATCAGGCTGAAGACCTTTGGATTTACTCTCATTCAAACCCTTTCCTAATTTTAGCTAATCAGACAAAAGTTCAATTAGTCTGAATTGTCGTCTGTCAAAACTCAAATCTAACTGTAACTTGGCAATGTTATTACATTGTGTGCATCCGATTCCATTTGCATTTCAATTGCAATCAGATTTTATTCAAGATTCTTCATTTATTTCATAAATTCAGCTTATTATGCATTAAAGGATCAAAGGAGGGGAAGTTGAAGAATCAGTTAGAACAATGGTGACAATTAAAAACTGATCAATTAACACTTTAAGTAGTGATTTTAATTTGGTTTGTTTCGCTTCTTTTATTCATTAACATTCAATTTCAATTTAAAATAATTAAATTGTTTCCATATATTGTCATTGTTTCCAATAATGCTGCTGTTGTTGGTACTGCTGCCTCGGTTCATGCTGTTGTTAGTATTGCTTGATGATTTTAACTTTAAACTGTTCAATTTATTCCTCCGATTTATCGGCTGTTTTGTATTGAACATTTGGCAAAATATCCCGAGCTCCACCAAATCGGATACCTTTCTGAGAAGCAAGTTTGTTGGTTCCATATTGAAGTGGTACAATTGCTAAAAATAAACAAAAACACAATTAGATTACAATTGTAAAGATTTTTAGTAATTCAGCTGAAATGACTGAATATACAGAAAACTTTCATTTCAATCAACCCCGAGATGAATTACAAATTTTATAAGAAAAATCTTTCACTAAAATCATAAACAGAAACCACCAAAATTGTGATTTTAGCTTTTACAGTCAAAAATCAATCAAAAACACTTTAATTGAATATAAACACCAAATAACCAAAAAACTGGTTAACCAGAAAAGAGGTTTTTGATCTTTAAGAGGTCCATTGATTATCAATGGAACTACCGAATTACCGAAGACTTTAGTTTACATCTAGCAATTAGATAAGGTTTTCAAAGCAATCAAGTTAAATTGTTGAAATTACCATAGATAGTGTGAATGAATGGAAAACATCTTTTTAATGGAAATGATTTTTACTTGTATTTGATTGATCTTTCAAAGACATCTTGTATATTGTTATTAATATAACTTGAACAAGATTGAGCTGAAATTTGTAAAACTGGCAACATTATTTGTTTTTGTTTCAGTTAAGAGATGAAAAATTTCATGGTTTCCAAGAATCTATTTATGAAACTGAAGTGATTTTGACTGAACATGAAACAAGTCAGGTTGATTCAGTTTTGTTATTCCCTTGAAGATGAACATTCTAGTCGACTGAAACCATGATATATGATGAAGGCACCAGAAATTTGGGTAAAAATTCAAAATATTCAACTCTAATGCTTTATCATCAACATGATCCTGAACGTGAACATCATCACAATCGTAACCAATCTATTCAACTCTGTAAATTTAGTTGATGAATTGAATCTAAAAAATGTTCCAGTTTTATAAATATTTCAATTTTCAAGGTTAGAAGTGATTTGTTTATGTACGTTTATTGAGTGTTTGTTTAATATGTAACCCCACAAATTGTTGAGCTAATTAGTTTAGTTTGTTGATGATAATTTAGGTAATTTGTTTGATCAATTGCTTGTTTTTGTTTTGCTTTTACGTGGTTGGTTTGATATGTTTGAAAAACTGGTTAAATTTTTCCTTACTATGTATAATTGACCATCTCAAATTGATTTGAATACTTATTTAGAAACAGTTTGAATTGTGGTTTTGTGATGTTCAACGTGATTAAATGAAAACTGTGAAATTAATTTTGTTCTGTTAATATTTACTTTCAACTCATCAATCACAATTAAAGTTTAAACCCTTTAATTTGGTCAGTCTATTATCATGAAATGATCATGCAATATCGTTAACAATTCAACTACCTTGGGTAACATTGACCAGAGCCTTCAAGTACATTGTTGACATTTTGTTGGCAACTAATATTAAAATTGTAAATCTAAATTGTCGACTCTCGAGATGATCAGAGATAGATTTATATGTCAAATGTAAACGAGCAATTATAAGGTCAAAACAATTTGGATAATTGATGTAATTATTAAATTATGGCAAACGGGGGAAGAATCAAGTTTGCTTTTCAATTGATTCATTAAAGAAATCTGATCATTTAAGCTTTCAGTTGAAGCTTATTAAACTAAGGTCATTGTAATAAATAACAATCAATCAAATAATTTAAACAAACGGTGAGGAAGTATTGATATTACATGGTAATACATGTAATAATAGAGTATAAAAGTGAATGTTGATCAACTACAATCGTTGAACGGTTGTTAACCTTTCAATTGATTGTTAATTAAACAATTAATCTATTGGTATCCTCAGCATGTAATCATTTGCACAGAACGAGTTTCAATGCAAAAAAGTGTTTGAAGATTTGGTTGATCAACATGGTCAATTTCATCTAAAGCCTTATCTAACGATGATCATCTTAAGGCTATTTATTATTCCTTATTGTTGTTATTTAGATATTTTGATTGTTGATTTGCATATTAATTTAATCTCATGAATGTGATATATGTTGATAAACTATTTGAAGGTGTACGAGCCTAAAAGATCTGAGTTGGCCTTTACCATTATCATGTTGACTCTGTTGAATTTGTTGCTTATTTTGATTAAAAATGAATTTTGTCCTTGATAATTTAATTTAACAGAAATATCACAATCTTTTTGTTTTCACTGTAAGATTATGTTTGTTAATTTGATGATCAGCAATGATAAACCAATACGATCTTGGGATCAGTTGATTAATTTTGGTTTTGTTTGCCTCTTCACTGCGTTAACTCTTTTCCTCTCAACTCTCATTGAAATAATTATTTAATCATCATTCTCTCTGGACACTCTATTGTTCACTGTCGGTGAGATCATCATGTTTATTAAAGGGACAAGGTTGTAATTGATCAATGAATTTAATCACATTTTCCGATAGTGACAACCAGATTTAATTGAGGAAACAAAGTTTAAATTGAAATCTCATTGAAAAGCAATGGTAAAAAGAGCAACAACTTACAAATGGGTTTAAGATGTAAATGTAGAGTAAAATACGTTGTATTACACTTCCGTGTGTATTACAATCAAATACAACTGGTCAATCAACATGATGAGTAAATATTTATCAAAATTAATTATAAATCAATAAAATACATAATTGAACTAAAACATTTTAAACTTTAACCGAAAGGTTTGATTTCCCAGATTTTGAATTTTAAAGTCAGATCTGCAAGCAATGCTGATTGGCTGTCACTTATGGTTACATCAGTTTTCTCACAAAAACACATGTGATTAATGTCTTTGTTTTCAAATCCCAACCGATCTTATGATTGATTAATAATGTTTACTTTTATTTTCCTGAATTTTCCTCACTTACTCAATTAATTAAGCATCGTTATTATGGTAAGTCAATTCATTTCATTTATATTCCTTTCTTTTTCGTAGTTGATTTGAGATTGGTTTGCTTCCAAGACAATGGATGATTTAATCTGTTTGGTTTTTAGTCAAATATTTGCCTCTTCATTTCTTTGTTAACCTCCAAGTTGATACTTCACGTAGCTTTTTATCAAATCAACCAAATAATCAGTAATGATACAATATGGTTTGGTGAATAACTAATCAATCTTATTCATTTTGTGCTGACATTTTTAATCTCTAGGTGTAAGTATTTCATGTAATTCGTACTTTTTACCTTGATCATTTTTATGTAAAAAACGTTTGCAAGATATCTAAAAATATGGAATTATTTAAATTATTGCTTCCATCAAGTACGCAGATATTCATAGCTGGTTTAGTACCATGGCATGAAAATTGGTGAATAAATAAACCTAAAATGATCTAATCATAATAGTTAACTCTAACTCTGATCAAACCTGCAAGAAAGGAGACCAAAATCAATGTCCTTTTCCTCAATGTAACATTTTAACAATTGGTAATTATTATAATCTTGGTTTTTTGCTTACTTTTCAGGCAACATTTTTTCATAGATATTCAGCCTGGAGGCCTACTTTCACCATGGAATGTAATTTTCCTCTTTACATCTCAACCCATACTGTTGTCTTTGTTTGGCTTTTTAACCGCCGTTGAATCATTACTCTCATCTCTATAATCAACGTATGGCTACAATTTGATGCTGGTGGTATATTCAACTAACCATCATTGTGATACACACAATATGAGGTCATCATTGAATGAAATTTTACAAATTTCAGTAGTTGATGCTATATTTGTGTAATAATGGATTGTAAAATCTACAGAGGAAAGGATAACATCAGAAGCGAGCAAATAAATTCAATTAGAATAGGTAAAGTATTAAAAGCAATCAGCTTACTTTAAATCTAATAACAATTTAAAATATTTTCTGGTTGTTTACTTCGACAGTTGCTGATATAAAAACGGCTGAGCTATCGAAACAATATACCAGATTCAGGCTGGAACAAGGATCTTAATTGAGCTTTGGTTTTTGTTTTTAACTCGCAATTATCTTTCAAAAACAAATATCAACAAGTCAGAACCTAAACGATGTTTTGAGCAAAAATGGCTAAATATTAATCAATTAAAAAGGAAGGACAAGGACTCGATTATATGGATTTGAATGGTGATTTCTCTTGTTATTTGTTGACTTTTGTTATTCCCTGTTGACGATTATTTTCGTTTTTTATTCATTTAAATTTCTGTTGTAAATTTCATTTTCTTTTTTTTGTAATTCAGATTCACTGTTGACGTACATTCAGTTTCGGGGATATTCCAACTAAACAATCAACATCAATTAGCCTTGAAAGGCGTCCATTTAGCTGATTTCTTTGATTCTGTGTAGCTTATGAATTCGATATCATCACCCATTCATCTGTTTTACCTTCCAAATATCTTCAGTTCAGGTTAATCACGTTTTGTTACTTAAACATTTGTTTTGCCATTTCAAAGCGATATATCATAAAATTATTGCTGGTGTTTCTCAAGTGGAAGGTAAGAAATGTATTTTTTTCTCTCACAATGTACCTGGAAAATGATGGAATAGCCTTTCGTATATGAACTAAATCACTTTAAAATCAGTATTTTCTTAAAGTATTGCATATGCGACGTTAATCAAGATAATTAAGACCAATGTCAAGGTCAATAAAGTTCTTGAACCGGGAACTTGAAGTTTAATTATTCCTGATTTTCTACTAATTAGCGTGACTTGAATAGTTGGCTAATTTTGTAAATTACAAAATTGGTATTGAAAAATTTTAGGCTAAATTCACAAGTCCACAATTAAATAATCATCAAAAATCACCTTAAGATTAAATTACTAAATCGATTGTTCGGTTTAAATTGCATGTGAAAAAAAGAAAATCTAACGAAGTAAAATTTTACACTTGAATTTGAGAAAATTCATGAAATTTTCATCGTATCAAAGTGAAAATTGATACAAAACCTTGAATGAATGTTAGCTTAAGTCCAATTATTGTAGTTTGCACTCATTATTTCACCCGTTCAACTGAGAACCAGAAACAAACTCATTCATTAATTTTGTAATTTTCTTGTCATTTTTAGGTGACTCATTCATGGCTAAATTCATCAGAGGCAATCAATATTTCAAGTTGGAGCTTGATGGTAAATACTTGATGTCATTATGCTGGTTGATTTAAATAAACTCACCTTCACTTGCTCTCAACTGTTCATCTGACCATTGCCTCCAGTTTTCCCTGTTTGAGGTATCCGAAACTTTTGGCATAATATCTCGACTTGCACCGATTCTAAGGCCTTTTTGAGTGGCAAATTTATTTGTTCCATATTGAGCCGGAATGATTGCTATTCAGACATTTGCAACAATTAACATTACTGAATCAACTAACAGCTAAATTTTATTTTAAACTCTAAAAGTTTTCTTGTTAAGTTTAGTAAACCAAAGATTATATTATTAGGATTCAGGAAATTTTCATAACAATTTAGCAGTTTTAGTTTTCCTCTTATTTTTCTCAGAGAATAAGAAAAACAATTAATTTAATCATTCAGACTTAGTTGAATGTTGAAATTGAAAGTTTTTACAATTGTATTTCAATTTCATTTGATTAAAAGTCAGTTTATTAGTTGAAAGTTTAATACTTATTCTTGTGAAAGGATTTTTGTAATTATTTAGTTAGAAAGAGAGTGAACGGAAATTGAAATATCTGTTTGTTCAATGCTCATTGATTATGGTACATTGAATCAGATTAATGATTGTTAGACAAAGTTTTAATAACTTTGATTTGAAAAAAGGAATGAACTAAATTAAATTCAATATTCTAAAGCATTATTAAATGTAAATGGAGTTGTTACATTTAATCTAGTTTGATTATTCCATTCCATTCCAGTTAAATATTATATATTGTAAAATGGTTTCGCTAATTTATTATTTGGTGTTTAAAAGATTTTGAATCAACTTACATTCCGATGCTCTCAATTGTTGCTCAGACCATTCTTTCATGTTTTCCTTGTTTGTCTTATCAGTAACCTTTGGTGTTATATCTCGTACACCACCAATGCGAACTCCTTTCTGGTTGGCAAATTTGTTGGTTCCATACTGAGCCGGGATAAGAGCTGGAAACAATTGAAAAGTGAGATTCAACGAAGGATAATCAAGTCGAATATCAAATGTTATGAAATTCACCCGATAAACTTGAATGGTATCATGTCGACATCAAAATTTGACAAGAGCTAAGCCAAGACGAAGTTAAGAATAAACTTGTCTAAATATGGGAAAAATGATCGCTAAAGCCATCCAATTAAAAAGCTCAAAGATTCCCAATTTAATTGAATAAATTGGTTTTGCTTAACAAATGAAAGAAACCCAGTAAAGAAAAATCAGAAATTCAGATCATCTATTTATAACTTGAGCCCAATGCATGACTTCTCTAATAGCTTTTTTAATTGGATGTAAACAAAATCATTTATCGAGTAAACCATTAACGATTTAAAACATGTTTGCCATGGAAGCTAATCTGTTTATCTGTGAATCAACAGTAATAATATCGACCAAGAAACTAACAATGTAGGTGAACAATATTGAATATTAAAAAACCGGTGACAAGTCAATGAATAACTTTGGACTAAAAAATTTGAAAAATTTATCTTGCAAGTGGAATCAATGAACATATCAAGCCTCATTTTAAACTCATTTTTTCGTCCTCCTCAGTTGTAATATTATTTTGGTAACCATCAACATTAACTTGAAGCAACAGTTAACTGTAGAACCCAAAGTGTCTATTCAATTCTCAACAATTTGCCAACTTTGAAAAGCCCATGCGTTCAACCTCTATTTATTGCCATGAGAGACCGAACAGCATCAAGTTTAAAACTGAATCAACAATACCTAAATTAGGGTTACTAAAAAAGAGGAACAGAATCCATAGCAAAACTTTTCAACGTTACCTGGAACCTATTTTTGGCCTAAAACCTACCATGAAACCAAAACTTCATTCTTCATCTTACATTCAAAGTAAAAACAGAATAGCTTCTCAGGTCTCTCTCCTCCTCCTTCATCATCATCATCATCTTCTTTCTCATTATACTCAAAATGTATGCAAATATAAAAAAATTTCACCCAACTTTGTTCATCATCTGATTGGCAGCCAATGTTAATCCTTATATTGGATACTAATCAATTTAATCAAGAAAGCCAATCAATCCTTTCTTTGCCAATCAAAAAATCAATCATCAAATAATGGATTGTTTTGGATAATCAAATTGAAGGGAAAAATTGCCAACAAATAATTGCCATTGAAAATTATCAGTAATATCTGGCTTGACTCTTTTGTCAACTTATTTTGATTTCGTTTATCATCGAATTTTTCATCATAACATTTGAAATATGAATTTAAATATTACCTTCACTGGCTCGTAAAACTTGCTCAGGCCAATCTTTGATCTCTCCAGTTGGTTTTGGGCCCAAGTTTGGTCCTTCCCATCCTGAATCATACAGCTTCAATGGTCATTGGGTAATCAGAATAAGAAACAGTTTGTTAATCGTTAGTTGAGATTTGCCTTTTGTTAACCGCAAAATAATTGAGAGCAGTTAATATTTGTGTTGGAAGTTGATGCTGAAGGTGCCAAAAAAGATGGCGATGGAAACTGGAAAAGTTAGGAAAAGAAGATGAAAGTGTAACTCACTTTCTTTCCAATTGATAACATGGTAAGGACAACCTTGGGAATATTTTTGGCTTCCCAAAGATCTTCCGGAGCAAATAATTGATCATCAGGAACTCCAAAGCTTCGACAGGCATCAAGAAAAGCATTCAAATTGGCCATATGAGCATCTTTGGTGAATGGTTTCTGAATCTTTGAAATTGATCCAGGCCTAATGATATTCATAACTCTGTCCAAGATAATCAATTGATCATTCGTAGCAAGAAAAGAAAGGCGATTTTAAAGCATTAATAAATATTAATTGAAAGTTTCCCGGTGCATTACCTGCAAAATAAAACACCATCTTTGAAAAGCTCCTCAAAAGGCTTTGGTGGGATACAGTCTTCGAGAACAGCTTCAACCCATAAACCAATTTCAGATTCAGCAAATTTATCTCGTTTACCTTCTCGAATGTTCTTGATTTATTGAGATATAATTGAACGAAAAATGTAAATTGTTGTAAAATATGAAAGTTGCTTTCAAACAAAACACAAGTTAACGAGTGAAAATCATAAAAACCAATGCAACTCTCCAGTTGAACATTGATTTCACCACATTTTTTATGCTTATTTGTATAGACATAATTATTTCAATTAAAATCCTTTTCGAATCAATTTGATTGTTAAAAGTGTTTAACGTTAAATGGTATTAAAAGAGGAAACAAAGTGAGAAGAAAAGCAAAATGTAAATTGTTTACCTTTTCAGCTCCAAGGAAAGTTAATCCACGAGGTCCGACTCGATTGGCCATAGTTATTTGTTTCTCCTTAATTAACTAAATCACAATTGAACACAAAACACAACAGATTTAAACAATTAAACAAAAGCCAGAGGAAAAAATAAAAACTTTTGTTGATATTTGTGTTTGTTTTTCAACTGTTTTCGACTCGGTTAATACAAAGTTTGCCTGAAAGAGTTCAACTCGATGATTCGTTGTGAAGCTTGAAAGGTACTAAGCTAAAAATAAGCTGATGAAACTGTTAAAATGAGAAGGGGAAACAAGTTATAATACAGATGGAAGGAACCAGATTAGATGATGGAAACTGGGTAAAGCCAAATAAACCTCTGAGTCGGTTCAAAAAAGGGGCTTCGAAATGAACCAAAATAGCAAACAAAATGAGGTTGAAGTGTTTTTTGCCCATAATTTAGACTGTTTCTTCTGGTTCGCCTTCCCTTTAAACATACAATTTGGTGATAACTTCGATTAAAAATACATTTATACAAGGAATACCTCAAAGTTGATATTGATATGTTTGTCAATATGGATCATCCAAGTCAATCCAAAGGAAAGTTGAAAAGTTGTACCAGTGATTAAGAATACAGTTAAATATAATAGTAATTTATATCTTTAAATGTGTCTAATAATTGATTTCATTTTCCTTTACGGTTAAGCATTACAGTTTTGATGACAGTTCCCATTGACTTGGTTGCAATAGAAATTACTTTAGTTAACTTTGTTTCATTGACTCAATAAAATAGATCTCAGTTGACAGATTTTGATAGTTTTTCAGTTACGTATCGTACAATATTATAAGTTTGAAATGGTTGTCGATTTCAAATTAAAAATTGAAAAATTGAAATCCATTTTGGTATTTGATCAAATAATTTCCCCTTTTACGCAGCTGTGATAATGTACAGTAACGATTTAAAAACGATTATAATAAAAGATGAAAACTAGAGCTTACATTAACCTGATAATTAAAGCTACAAGCAAAATCATGAGTAACAATGTCAAAGGCTTTTCGTTGTGATGAAATTATTTCGTTAGTTTAAATGTTAACCAGACGGAATTTTGAATAAAATATAAAAAATACCGTATTGACGCGAATAGTGGCAACAGTTGACAAATCAATTTACACCGATCATATGTATTTTTATTTGATTTGGCAACAGATTCGATAAATGGTCATTAGAAGGCAATCTTTTGTTGCATGGAATTAATTGTTACGTCAAATGATTGAGCGAATTTAGAAATAGTTTTAACAATCATTTAACAAGTATCATTTATCAAAAAACAATTGGATTTTGAATCAGATAAAGTTAATCTAAAAAACGAATTTAAAAAATTGTTTCTAAAAAAAGTTAACAATTAACAATTGAGATCAACTTTAAAAAAGCCATACTAAAAAATGCTATAAAATTTTTGGACGGTTAAAAACAAAATCTATAAAAATATAAATAAGAATCTCTTGGAAATACTATAATAGAAATATCGACTAAATAACGATAAAAAGTACAGAATGGTCAATTAAAAACCAAACGGTGTCGATTTTAGAAGACCAATCATCAGATCATACGATGAGACCACTTGAAACGAAATCTTCGTCAGATTTCTGAAAGTCTCGTAAAGATTATAATAAATAGATTATATAAAAAAATGAATGTTTATATCAGGATAGATAAGTTTTTTTTCAATATCGGGATAGATAAGTTTTTTTCAGTTTCGGAGTTCACCAACGATTTTTTGCATGTGAAATGGGCTATATATTTAGCATTTTGAGGGAAGAGAGGATCACATATAGTAGTTCCAAGCAGGTTCGACACCATGCAAGTTTCCATTGTTACTCTTTTTCTTTTTGCGCACATCGTGCATACCACTTGTTCCAGCACCCATAGCAGCAGCGGATGGATCAGGCCAGGCATATTCTTCATAACCGTAAGCAAACATTCCGTTAGCGTAGTTTGCGGCCACTTGGGCTTGCGTTTGTTGCATTCGCTTCTGTTGCTGAGCAACTGGTTGGGGCTGAAAATAGTTGAAATAGAATTAGAATAAAATTGCATTTCAAATTTGAACACCAAACAAAAAAAACACTTACCTGAGCTTTTTTTACATCACATTCTCGACCATCGATTGTTTGCTTAGATTCCTTAACGGCAACATCGGCGGCTTCTTCATTCTCAAAAATGATGAAACAAAATTCACGTCTCTTACCACGTTGCCTATCATAAGGTAACTCAATTCCTTCGATTTTACCAAATTTGTTGAAATGACGTCGAATTTCAGACTCAGAAGTGTTAGCATCAATGCCTCCAACAAAAACCTTCTTACTGATTGGTCGTGATTTAGCTCGTTTAGGATCAATGAGTTTATTTTTGAGAGTGTGTGGACCATTTCTCAAGACCTGATATGATATGAAAATGAAATGATATAATAGAAATCAGAGCTATAGGACAATGATACAATAAATATTAAGGGTGAGGAGGAAATGAAACTTACATTGTCAATGCAGTCACTTGAAACAAAAGTGATGAAACCAAAACCTCGAGGATGACCAGAAACTGGGTCATATTTAATAGTGACATCGAGAATTTGGCCAAATTTGTTGAAGTAATTGAGAATGTCCTCTGAAAAAAAAGATAAAAAATGAATACTAAATAAACATATGAAGATGAACAAGTTGAAACACACCTTCAGAAGTATCCCAGCTTAAGCCTCCAAGAAAAAGTTTACTTTCATTGTGGTTATTGCTGAAGCTTGGTGGTAAAACGTCAACAGCCATATTTAAAGTAATTTTAGGTGATCAAATAATGAAAATTAGAGCAAAAAGGTGAAAACAAAGATGTCGATATCGAAAGGCTACCCTGACTATAATATGCTTTGCGAGAAAAATTCAAAATGTCTGCATTTTCCGTGTCCGGAAAGTTGTCAGGGCTACAAAAGGGCGCCATCTATGAAAAGATATTGCAAAATATTTGAAGTCAAAACAGATTTGTTTTTTAATCATCTTTCACTGATCTCTTAATTTGTAAAGATGCTCAAAAATAGAGATGGCAGGATCGGCGATTCTCCAGCTCGATCTTCGAATAAAAAAATTAAAAGATTGAGCACAAGATCGACTATGAATGAGAAGATTGATTCTGAGATCGATCTGTCATGTTTTGATTTCCCGTTGACTAACTGTTGACTCAAATGATTGAGTGAAGACCAAAATCATCAAAAATTTATAAATTAATGAGTTATTTTTGTACTTTTTAGGTCGGTCGATCTTTCTCGAGTACTTTATTTTTAAAAGGTCAAGCTCAATCAGATCACAAATTCAATAACTCGATTTTTGTTCGGCTTTCGATCAAATTTCTCAGTAACCTTGGTGGTCTGACTATTTCCGTGGATGTACAGAATTCATAAATTGATGAGTTATTTTTGTACTTTTTAGGTCGGTCGATCTTTCTCGAGTACTTTATTTTTAAAAGGTCTTTGAAATTATTAACATAATTGCATTGTAAAAGTGGGGAAAATCTTAAATCCCAAAGATGGCGTTGTTTAGTGTCTGACTATTTCCGTGGATGTAGTTCGCTTAAATTTTTCTTTAGATTCCTAATGACCATAATTTTAGCCATCGAGCCTTCTATTAGAGTTCGATCTTTTTCTGCCATCTCTACTCAAAAAGGGTTTATTGTTAATAAGTTAGTAACATCTGATTATGGAAATACGACTGAAAATTTAAACACAATTGACCTTTTCTACCAAATCAACTGCAATATTTAACGATACTATTTATAAATATAAAATGATGAGGTTATTAAAAAACATTTAAAATGTAAAGTAAGTAATTAAAATAAAAGTGAAGCTGAAGATGTTAATATTGTGTGTTGATAATGATAATGGATAGAAACAATGCTCAAGTTTTGTTTACAATTCCAATGGTATTTAAAGTCGACAGACTATGGAGACAGAAGAGAATAATAAAGATGAATAATAGACGGGAATGAAGATGAAGATGAGAGTGGAAGGTGAGAAAAATGAAGACAGAGGGGAAAAACAAATTGATGGTAACTGTGTTTGGAGGAAAAAATTACAGCTAAAAATAAAATTTGAATGTGAGCCAAAAAGGATAAAATAGTTTCGATGTTTAACAGTTTCTTTTCTCATCATCTTGTCTTCATCATCATCACCCTCATCATCATCGTCATCATTATTATCATCGTCTTTGCATTTGTATTTCTAGAGAATTGACTAGATGATATAACCCAAATAAGGGAGAGAGATCTTTTAGTACGAAGAGGATGCAAGAAAAAAACAAACAAGCAGCATTGGATAAGCTCATTTCTTCAACTCCGACCAACATCATCAGCTAATCTTTTATTTTGAAAGATCTTTTTTTACATCATCATCTTTTTCACCTTAGCTTTTTTCAAAGCTAAAAGAAAAACGAGAAAAGAGGAAAAATCTTAGAGTTACTTCCTCCCACTAAAACCCACTTTCACTGTCATCATCATCATCCTCATCATCTCCTGTCAACTAACCATAAACAAGAAGTGAGAAAAAGAAAAAATGTCAACTTTTTACTTGAAAGTGAAAGAAAGATGATAAGTAAAAAAGGAGAGCAAATTGACCAGCTAAGTGATCATCTTCATCATCTCCTTTATTTTGTTCAACTGTAAAATAAACTCATCTTTTAACCCTCTCTGTCCTAGTCCTTTTTCATCATCACAATCATCTTTACGTCTTTTTTTAAATCTTCATCTACCTCTGCATTTAGTATTCCCTGTTTCTAGATTTTGCTTCACTCAACTACGATTCTACCAGTGACCTCGATTTTACATGCCTCGTGAGTAAACTTAATTCAGTACGAATTTTCCTTTTCTTTCTTTCTTTCTTACTTTTTCTTCAACGTCTCCCTGAACTTACTCACAATCATTTCTCCCTTCTTGGATTGATAATAATCATCTTATGTTACGACAGAAACTAATCGTGGTCATTTCCGTCATTTTTTATTGATCCCTTTCTTTCCTTGTAATTTTTTGCTTTTGTTTGTTTTCTTCTTTTCTCTTCCCTTTTCATCAACCATCAATTCCATTTAGCACTCCTTCATGTTATTATTGTTTATCCAATTTCATCTAATTCTCAGGTGATTTTGATTTGCAAACACAGTCTGTGACATTGTGGTGATGATGTTAGTGTTTGTCAAAGTAACCAATTACTGTGATGTTAATTTTGATGATGGAAAATAACAGGAAAGTTGCATTTTGGATTTTTTTGGTTTGCCTTCGATTCTGATGACACAAATATTATCTTCAACCTTCCAATTCTTTACTTCTTCTCTTTGTGATACACGAATATGCATAAATGCTGAATCTTTAAAGCTATTTTTATCGTCTACTGATTAAGTTATGAATGTTTCTTTTTTGTGAATTTTAACTGCTTTTCTATGGTAATTCTCTTACATCTCATTGTGATTTGGTTGGTTTAGATGAAAACACTGTAATCTGGAAGATAATTGATAAAAAACGTGTGAGTTCATAATAAGAATCAAAATAAGTTTAACTAATTTATAATGAATTACTCACAAAATGAGGTAAAATCCAAATTAGTGTCACCGAATTATTCATTGAATGATCGAAAGTTACTCAATGAAATCGTCCAAACGAATAACAATGATAATGACAATCATCAACAAGCAAACCAAACACCACTGGAGCTGTCATCTTCAAATGGCGATAATATAATAAATCAAGAACCATGGGATAATGTTTATAAATTGTTGCAGCAATTGAATGATCTTCGAGAAGCCAATTCCAAGTTACAAAAGAAAGTACAATTCTTGGAGGGAATGAAACTGTTGACCAAGTTACATCAAGATATTCGTGATGATCCAGAATTTTCAGAATTTTTCAGCGAATTTTTTCGTCAGAAATACCACTCGCTGGAAGATAGAGGAGATACTGAAGCTGCATCAGATGATGGAGTTTTCATCAATTTGGAAAATACAAATAAAGTTAGTGCTTCTAAAACAACCGATGAAAGTGAAATCAAACCAAGTGCTAATAGAACGACTAGAGAGCTACGTATGAGTACATTGGCGCGCGAAAGATCCAAATCAGTAGGGCATGAAGAGATATTAAATCAAGGTGAAAGAGCCAAAGTGATCAAATCCAAAAGATTTCCAAGATGGTCAAGAGTGAAAACAGCGTTGGGTTGGGATAAGACGAGTCAAGCAAATGCTCCAGTTTCATTAGTTGAAAAAAGTGACGGAAAAAGTAAAAAGTCACAAAATGAAAGCACAAGTGGCTGTGGCGATGCAGCTAGTAACGCAAGTGGATCGGAATTTGTCAACTGCGATGGTATGTATACGACTATTTTTACTGAAGTTGAACTGCAAAAAGTTAATGATATCATTAAATAGATAATTGTGCATCATTATAAGGACAGGATGAGCCAAAATATAAAGGCTTCACTTAGTTATTGCATATGAGACCATAATTAAATTTCTCATTAGGAAAGAATGATGTGATGAAAGTGAATGCATGTGATCCAGAATGTTGATTAAACTTGTGAGACATGTGCGATATCAATTGTTATTTCATTCAATTTGCTTTGTTTCACTTTGTTTTCCATGTATCCGAAAGCCACGAGCGGTTGCGATATTGACAAAGGATTTAAGTTGACCGGAAGAGGGGGAAGTGAACGTCGTATATTAGGAATAAAAAGCATTATATCCAGCAGGAAGAACAGTCTGAATCGATCATCAATTAAATCAGAATCAAGAAGCAGAAAGAATGATCCTGAAAATGTGAAAAAAGATAATCATGATCATAAAGTATCTGGTGAAGTTGACGAAAATGATTATGATGATTATGATAATAGTGTCTCGCAAAATTCTCAAAGTGGTATTTCCATAACATTGGGATCTGGGATTAAAGGATCCAAAAGCTTAGGCGATATTTCCAGTAATTCTCATTCATGCTCCAAATATTTAGTAGAAAATCTCAATCGCTCTGGCAAGAGTCCAACATCATCATCTTCAGCAATACAAAAATCAACCAAAACAAAAACAGGAAAAACAGGGACAGCACTCAATGCTGATTCGATTATTCCTTCTTCTCATAATGATATGCCAATTTCGTCCATTGATACCACAGCTATTTGTAAATATGCTAAATCAAGATATCGATCAATTGAAGGTAACAGCAACACCAGATGGACTGGATCACAGCGAATGCCAAGTATGTCACCTCCAGTAAAACGAAGATCCAAATGGATAAAAATGAGAAAGGTTTTTGCCAATGCTAGTGAAGGTGTTCCTAGATCAGCTAATGCCTCTCTTGAGTTGAATTCAACAAATATTCAATCAGTACCAGCAAGTCCAATGTCATCTGATACTTCTTTTAACTATGTTATGGCATGGAATGAGAATGAAACTGGATCAGGTGAAGATGGAGATGGAGAAACAGCAAATGGTTATGAAGAGGTTTTTGATGCTGAAGGAAGATCGAAAGAAATGGACAGAAGCGATGATGGTGAATGCGAAAAGGACGATGATTATATGCTTCCTTTAAGTGAATCAGCTACAGAGCCAGTACTTAATTTAGTCCAGGAGCTTCAGCGCAATTTAAGTGAAGATTTCAGGAAAAAAATTGAAGAATGGGAAAAAATTAAGTCAGGAGATGTTTTAGGAGTAGGAAGTGGTGCCGATGGCTTTGGATTGGGAGGCTCATCGACTAGAATGCCAGTTGCTGCTAAAGTTGAACGAAAAACCTCGCTGCCAAAATTAAAGAAACGAAAGTCAGATCGAAAACTTGAAAAATATCGAGCTAAATATAAAGATCTTAATTGGGTTGAAAAAGAGCTAACACGAGCTAATAAAGAGAAGGAAAAACTCGACCGTGAACGAACCAAATTTGAGGAGCGAATCAAAGTTTTACAAAAATGTAAAGAAGATGCTTTAGCAACTGAAAAGGGGACCAAAAAAGAAGTATTTGTAAGAACTTCAGAAGGGGAATTCCGTTTTGAAGGAATAACAGATGATTTTACCAAGAAACTTTATGAATGGGAAACAAAAAAAGGGTTATGTCCAGAAGCATCAATTATGACTTTACTTGATTCCAGTCCAGGTCCTAGTTCATGTACAACTCTTGGTTCACCGCCCTCTTTGGAAGCATCACTATTTGATCAGGAAAAGTCACAGATGCGCTCTTCATCTACAGGAAGACACCAAACACGACATCCTTTGAATAGATGCATTTCCAGGTCTGAAAGCTCACTATTGGATCCATTGAGTAGTGAAAATGGATTAACATCAGCTATCAATAAAGATCAAAATAGTAAAATAACCAGCACTTCATTGCCATCACTTCAGCAGGTTGATCCTTGTTCAGAGTATGAGTCTGTTTTACTACCAGCTGGAGTAACAGAAGACATAGATTCAAGACGAGCCCACTTGATTCGTCAACAGCAACAAGTTGCTCGTCAATTATTCAATTTAGAATCGTCGTCCGAATTTCAACCAGCCACAATTCCAGTATGGGGCGATGGGGAAAAGTGTATGGTAACGGTAAACCCAGATGGGTCAACAATTATTGTTGGCTCTAAACAAGACATTTACGAGATGACCAAAGAGATACTTGGAGAAGCCGGAGATGAGGGTTACATTTCACTTTTAGAGGCCAATATGTTTTTGTTAGAAAAATTAAATGCCAAAGAGGACGTTTGCCGCAATTTAGAGATGCAATTAAAACAATTAGATTCAAAAATGGATGAAATGAATGAGAAACATCGAAAAGAAATGGGTAAGATAAAAGAGTAAACAAAAACAACAGTCTTTTGTTTCATGTGACACCCTATTAACACAGCTTACAGCTTAGCAAATCTATTATCTAACATTAGCAATGTAAACAGCAAAAGCAAAGCCACCCTTTCTCTCTGCAAGAATATTATATTTTTGTTTACAATTCAAAATTCTTTTCAATTTTAATGATACTTAATATTAGAAAAATATCGTGAAAAACTGTGGGAAATTCATGGAAACAAATCAAACAACACTAAGGAATCAAATAAAGTAATTTGTGAACTGAAGGATCGAGTTGAAAAGCTTCAGCTATGCAGTGAACGACTTAAAGCTGATAAAGAAGCTTTAGAAGTAAGTATCTTACGTTCCCTATATTGAACCTTTCCTGGTGTAAATTAAAAGTTTTAGACTAATTTTGTAATTATATCGATCACAGGATAGCTTCCAATATCACAGTGAACAACAAGCGAAACTGGCAATTGAATTAATTGGTAAAATGCGAAATCTTCAAGAGATTAGTGTTCAAGCTGAATGTGATACAGCAGATGATAAACATGAAACAGGTAAGTGAGAATTCTTATCGCTTATAGCATACTGTTTACCAAAGCTAAGTTTTGAATATTTTAAAGTGTTCAAAAATTAGTTCGCTGTTAAATTCATTAGTCAGTTTAGTATTTTATTGAGATCGAACCGTCAATTTTAAATATAACCATAGCCTGTTGTTAACCAACAGAAAAGATAGACATAACAAACATGTTTGTGTGTATTTAACCGTAACTGTAAACAGGGGTTTTTAGTTTTTAAGGTTGCTGGGTGAATAATTACGATTTTTCTCATTGTTCAGGAAAAAGAACCAAAAGTGTTTTAAAATGCTGTCCAGAGAATGTGATAAAGCTCCATGATCTCTCTACTAGTTTATTAGAAAAGGTTTGTACACCATGAACTTTCAAAATCATTTCATGATTTCATCAAAAATATCCTGATTTTATTCCAATTTTAGGCGCGGGAATTGGAATTAGCTTTGGTTGAGAGAACGAAACAAATCTGCCGATTACGCTGGGAACTATTGAACCGAGAAGTTTCAGCTATGAAAATGAAAACAGAACTACATTCAACGCAGTTACAAGATGGAAATCGAACAATTAATGTACCAACAGCAAACATTAAACGTACACAATATGGACAACGAAGATCTTGGTCATCAAGTGAACGTTTAAATTACAAACAAACCGGAATCAAGTGAGTTGTTTTTCAATTACCCATAATTACCCACTTGTTTGATTTCAACTGACACAATTTCGTTTCTTTGCAGAGGATATCATTCAGGTTTAGATGTAGATTCTTGGATAATCAGTGAAGATTGGCCAAAGATACAAAAGGAAACAAGTGAACTTAGTGAAACAGTACAACAACTCAAGATGGAACTTCTCAAACTGGCTTCGCAAGCTCAATCTCGAACGGGAAGCTCCTCAGAATGTCTCGATGATGGTGAAAGGATAAAAATTGAGGTTGGCAGATGGGATAACTCATTCCAACATATTGGCTAATTTTAAAGTTCATTAAATGGAGAGATATAATTGTTCACACCATAAGATTAACAAGAAAACCAGACAAATAACCAAATCTCCAATCCATCAAAGCATTGTAACCTAGTCATTTATTAGACAAACCTATTTCCAATCTTCCTACCCATTCCAAGTTATCACCAGCAAATACTCTTACAACAAAGTAGAACATTCATCTAACCGCTTCTGAGAAACAAAGTAAAATTAATTTAATCAATTTACTTTTACTATCTTCTATTTATTAATCGATGATGCATATTAATTATCAATGCATTTTGTTAGTTTCTATTAATCTTTTGCTGACGACTAATATTAATATTTTGCTATTTTGCTAATTTTATCATATATATTCATATTCAAGTACTAATATAATCTTGTTTTTTTCAGGGAATGAAAGGTATAAAGGAATTATTTACATCATCTCTGCCGACTGATTTGATGCCCAATGATTATAGTGACACTAAAAATAATTATTCTGATGAAACCAAATTTACCTCAAGACATCATCAGAATTCAGGTGATAATATCAGTAGCTTCAGTGGACCAGAAGGAAGTGAAAGTTCAAGTCTGAATGACGCTGAAAGAACTTCGTATGTTTTAAGGTTACCTCGTAATAGATGGCGACGATCTCATGATAATGTTTCCAGTTCTTCTGAGAGCTCATTTAAGGACGAGGAATCGTTTACAGTGGCAGAATGGTGTCGACCTCGAACAAATTCACATTTTTCACGACGAACTAAAGTTTCCTCAGGGAATAATAAAAAAGGAATTGAAGAGCAAGTAGGAAGTTTAGAATCGCAAAAGTCAGAAGAGTTGACCAGAGAAATGGTTTTATCTTATGGAAATCATTCCATCTCACGGTCTAGTTCAGAGTTAACAGACCAGAGAAATGATTCATGGGGAGAATTGTATAAACATAGATTGTTTTTCAATCACTTCTCGGAAACATCGTCATCTACGCACAATGAAGGATTCGAAGAGAGTTCATCAGCCTCAATGAATAACCCATTTCAATCTTACAATTATGATACACCAGATTCAACTCAATCTAATTTAAGATCATCGTCCTCATCGGGCCATGACCGTTACATCGGTATACCGATGATCGATGAAGATTATCCTGGAGGTTCAATTGGCGGTGGCTTATCTGGAGGCCCCAAAGGCTCTGAATTTCAAGTTATTCCAGAAGGACAAGTAATGTCCATGGCTGGAGAAGAGCGAAGGCATTCCGAGCCATGTAGAAAGTTCAAATATTCCATTCGAGCAGTGAACAGGAATCTTGTCAGTAACTCAGCAATATCTATTGCAGAAGGAAAGGAAGATCAATCACCGTCACCGATAGTTTATACAATTCGTTTATCGCCTTCACGAATGGGATCAAAATGTACTGCTGATCAAGATGTTAAGAATTATGAAGACATGGACGAATTACTGGAAACACCCACAACTGAATATGTTCTATGTGAACCAAAAGAGAATATATTTTTTACTCGAATTAATAGAAATCATTCACCATCACCGCCACCAAAGACATCTTCAAATCAAGAAACCCTTGATTCATTTAGTCAAAAATCTGAATCGAGACTGGGAAATGTGGAAAATATTTCAACCAACAGTCTTACAAGTACATGTAAAAGTGATTTTTTGGAGCCATTATCCAATGTTAGCCAAGATAACAGATCACCGTCTTCGACATCGTTGACTTCTCTTGGATCAGAAAGAAGTATTGTTAAATCTCGAACTAGTCAAGATTCGCAAGTGAGTTTAAAGGAAAAGGATTCATCAGAAATCACTAGGTCATCAAGTAAAAGCTCTCTAACATCAAAAGTCGCCTCTTTTATTAATAGAAGATCAAGAAGTAAAAGTAGAACTCGAAGTGAATCTAATAAGCAATCGGCTATTGGAGCTCTTTGTAGGCAGAGTTTGGCTTTAACTGTTGACCCGAAAAACATGAACGAGACAAAAATACTGAATTATTCAAATGTAATTGTTACAGAGGCTTTAAAAGCAGCTGCTTCAACAGCTACTGCTACCATTTCAATGGCACCTTCAATATCATCATTGTCATTGCTACCGTTATCTTCCAATGAATATGCTGCTTCAACGTATCAACAATTTCAATCAGATCATAAATAAAACTCACAACTTGTCAGATATTAAATAATTTTTAGCTAATGAAACATTCCTTCAAGTTACATGGCTAGTCTGATTGATTAGAAAACCAATTTGAAGTTAATTATAGACCTGGATTAATGAATACTGATGTTGATTATCTAGCGATGAATCAAGCGGATATTTTAAAAAAGACGAAATTCATACCGATCTTAATCCATATCATTTGAAGTAACTATCTTCACATGAAGTCAAAAGGATATGGGCACGATTTAGAAAGCAAAGGAAGACATATTTTGAAAATTCCAGAATGCTACGAAAAAGATGGTTATTTCAACACAAACCAGATGGAATCTTATGGATAAATCAACAAATTTGGATTTTAAGGCCAAGGAAAATGATTTGGTCTGTTCTGATCTTACTTGGCCCTTTTATCTTTTTTCATATCTTGTAATAAGTTTAATGTAACTGTTAAATTATTTATTTTCGTCCTGTTTCCTTATCAAATCTATCGACATCTCTAATAAATTATATGCCAATAGATATTTAACATCAACTATGTTAATTTATTTTCTAAGAAAGACAACACACCAAATTAAAATCCTCTCACAAGAGTTGACCGAATCCTCATTAAGAAATTGAAGATACAAATGATTGTTGCCTTGGTGAGCAGCAGTTGAAAACAGAAATCTCAGAAAAATTGTTACTAAGTGTTGAAACGAGTCCGAAATATTAAGTATTTATGTACTAATATCGCGACTAATTTGTCTTAAACTAGATGAAATGAACAATATTTTGTTAATGTTTAACAGTAATCAATTACTTGGTCAGTTACATGGTCAGTTTTTATCGTCAGATGAGTTTGAATCAGTCATTAAACAAAGCAAATATCGCTCTGGCCGGGTGACCAAACGAATGCCGTCTTTTGATCGCTCCAATATTCGTTTTATTAATGGTTCGTTTCGTTCGAACAGTTTGGCAACCTGAGTTTACACCATTGAATCCATGGGAACAAGCTTTACCACAATAACAAGATCTGGTGAATCCTTCAAATGAATATGTTGGCCATTCATCAAATCCGGTTCCATTGATTATTTGATGAGCTACCAAATTAGGATTGATTGAATTTCTACTAAGAACACAGCCCATAATGATGATATCGATTGAATTAAACTTAACAATAAAACTTAATAATAAAATTAATAACAGATTATTGAAGAACCAGAAAGAGAAAAGTTAAAAACATGAAAAGTATCAAAATTGGTGGTAACAATAAAAACAAGCTGCTTTTAAGGAAAGGCAAAAGTTGAAGTACCACTGATTGGTTCCAATGATTAGTGACGCGTCATTGATTATAATTGTGATAATTTTATCATCCATCTTAGACGTTTTTGTGTTAATCTCTATTTTCGAATATTGATGTCAAGTCTGGAATGGTCAGTTTGCAACTTTAATCATTTTCACTGCCCTAAAATCAGAGAGTAACGAACAGTAGAAGAGCTGCTGTCTGAAAGGTTATCATGCAAGTTCTGCCTTATCCCACCGGAGGAAACAATTTGCAAAAAAAAAAAATTGAGATAAAAAAACTAATCACTTGATTATCGCGAGATCGCAAGAACAGAGTTTCTTTGAACAGCACTTTAACCACTGCTGTCTCTTCCTACCTTACTCTTTGCCTAAAGTTCACCAAATTGTTGATAAAATTCAACTTCTTTTCTTAATCAGTTTGATAAACAATGAAAATGTCGTGTTTTCATATCTTATCTTGAACCCTTTCAAAGTCATTGTTATTAGAAGCTGCTCGATCAATAACAAACATTTGTGGGAAACTGTTTCAGTAATTACAATTTACATGAAAACTGTTGTTTCTCATGAATTATTATTCCAATGTAACAACATTTACGCTCAATAATGCAATGTTACTCTTTTCAAAACAAAACCAAAACTCGATTTAAGAAATGAGGTTCAAGATTGAATCTTGATCATCCAGTAAAGTAAAGTAAACACAGAAAATTCGTAAAGAGTCATGAAAAACTACCAAAATCGTCTTAAATCAAGCAAATTTTTGTTTAATCAAAAAAATAAACTTTCGTCCTCACCAAGACCAACAAAGTCAACCTCAACTCGCCATTTCAAATTATTGTCAAGTACATTCAAGATTTTGTGTTTCATTGGTTTCTCAGCCCAATTGCTCACAATACTTCAACGTTACCTTCAATTTGACATGCGAACTCGTGTCAATGTTCATGTACCAATGATTACTTCTTTACCTAGTTTTACCCTTTGCTTTGAAACTGTAAACCTGGTCAACTACACCAAACTTTTCGAGCTTCATCCAGAGTTAAAGCGTGTCCTTTTTGATGAAGATGACATTGAGTCCATGTTGACTCTCGAACAGAGACAGACCCAACTGACTCGACTGATTAATAGATTTGGTCATCGAGGTTTATTCCTTCAATTAGCAGCCAATCTTACCATTAGTCAAATAACCGAAACCCTTGTCCAACCCGAACAACTGTTTCAATCAATTGACTTGCTTGACCAACTCAATCAGCCCATTGAAAAACATTGTCAAATATTCAACTTTTATCGCTATTTCAGATATTGTTATACTTTTTCCTGTAAACTCAACAATAATCTAAGTGTAAGTAAAAGTAAAGATGGCATTTATACTGAGCCCATAACTTATGGGCTTCTTTTCCTTTACATGAAACACAATTTTTTATCTCAATTGGAATACTTTTACTTGACCTTTACTCATCTCGATACTATACCTCACGGAATCCTATCTAAATGGATAACTCAATCAATTGATGCTCATAAAGTTCAACAATTCCGTTACAATTTTGTTCTTTTAACCCTTAATCTTCTTCCCTCTCCATATGCTTCTGATTGTGCCACTTATAAGGATAGTAGAGGACAAATGGTTAACCGAGAGTCGATACTTGACCAATGTTTTCAAAACAAATCATTGAGCTTGTTAAACACACACTTTGCAAAGTCAACCATCCCAGCCTACTCAAGTTATCGATTTCCTTTTCGAGTTTACTATGAAAATCGTGACAACATAACATTTATAGAAAGAGTTGAAGATATTATCGACTTTTGTTATGACCGTTACAGCCAATTTGATTGTCAACACTACTATTATGCTATTCAAGATCGTGATCCAATTACAGTTGCTGGCAATTTGTCAGTCATTTTCATCGACGAAATTATCGAGCCTACATTCACCCTTACCCTTTATCCTAGAATGACTTTACTTGACTGTTTGGTTCAAATGGGTGCGTGTCTGGGAACTTGGTTCGGCTTTTCTATTTATTACGATGTTCCAACAATTTTTACATTCGTTCATTTGATACTGACTAAATTGAGAGTTTTATGTCCCAAATCTTCAGCGTTAAATCGTTGAACCTCAATTTTTATTCTTTTTTTTATTGCCTTTTAATTCATGTATCAATATATTTTCCAATCAAAATCATTCAAATAAACAATTGTGAAATTAAAATCAAAAGATCTCGAAGGTTATTGATGATTTGTTTACTAAAAGTGATCGGCGCTGAACAAGTCCACTTACAGTAATTCAATAAAAGATTTCAGTATGTGCTAAGTTCAATTTCATTTGATCGATTTTTTTTATTCATTTTCCGCTAATCTATTTTGAATCGACTGTAAAAAAGTAACCATGATGATCTCTAAGGACGTAAATTATTTTACAAAAGTTGCTCTGAATTCATTGTAAATAAGCTATTTCACAGTATTATCTGGGATCTCATCATTACAATGTAATCTAACCTTTAGATTCATTTCATTAGTTACTTATTAAGTTGAATCTCAATCAACAGATGGAGCTTTATCACGTCAAGATAACTGTAAATACATTTGATTGAAATAATATTGTATTTGTCGTATTGTCGTTAAGGCGATTGAATAACTTTACTAAATAATCATTTTAAAACTGGTTATTACAAAACTTAGACATAATCTGTTAAGTTGATTTTTTAACCCATTGAGATGAGTAGTCTCGTACAAGCTTCCAATGCTGAGAATTGAATGATTTTATTGTCACTCCAACGATATTTATCTGAACAAAGAGTAGCACATAATATAAAGCGCATGTTTTATCAGCACTGAAGATCAACAAATAAAGAAGCGCATTCTCATGCTGAACCAAAATCAGTTTACAAGAACTTAAACAAACAGAGTTGATGGTACATGATATGAGCAATGGCAAGAGTGGAAAGGATCATTTTCATTTGAAGTGATTCCGTGAAAACAATAATTTGTATTACCAACAAGTTAACCGTCGAGCGATTACCATAAAGTTTTAGTTTTGTTTATCACCGAGTTTCATGAATAAAATCAATCAGTAAAAATGAATGTCCACAAAAACAAGCCTTTGATTGTTTCATGGATAAACATTTTACAACAATTGATCAACATGAAAATGGACAATTATTGATCATCAAAACATCCATCCGTTCAAGTTGAATCTTTAACTGCATCGTTTTATTTTTTGTATCAACAACAATGTTTCTCTGGATAACTTCATTAAGGTAATAAATGACATTACAAAAAGCAATTAAAGGAAAAAGTTGAAGCCAATTTCCTAACCTTTTGTGTCTCTGTCAAGCTACTTTAACCCTTTAACTTTATCCTCTCAATAATCACACCTTTTGTGTTTCCCTCTGATTTTGATGTTTCATTAAATCTCTATCATTCTTTTTTTCACCCATCAATTTAGTCTGCTTTACATAAGTTCACTTTTAGGCCAAATAAAAGGTGAAAATGATCTTTCCATTTTGGATCATCTTCTTAAAGGTTATGATAGACGTGCTTTACCGGAAAGTTTAAAAGGTAAGATTAAACTGTTCATCATGAAATTAGATGATTCTGTTTTCCCTGAAACTTGCAATTTTCTGCATCATTTGTCAAACCATAAGAGTATCACTTTCATTAGCAGTTGTAAAACAATCAGTTTCTCATCACTTTAATTCAAATTATATTTTCATTAAAATTAAACCAAATCACTTTACAATAGACTTTAAAGTTGAAACTTGTTAATCAGGTTACATTAAAAAAGCTTGAACTGTGTTCAATTATTGAATGAACTAGTTAATTAAAAGCTTCAAGTTCTAGTTAATTGTGAGATGGAAAATTATGGAAAAATAAATTTTGAAAATATTCTGATGGAATGAATTGTAATTTGATTCAATTGTTCAACCCAATTCAATTGCAATTAATTTAAATTGTTTCTTTGTCAACAGGAAAAGCAACTCCAGTTGCCTGTGAAATTTACATTAGATCTTTTGGTTCCATCAATCCAGCAACCATGGTAAGTAGTGAATGATGAAATGTCGGAAGAAAGTATTGAAATGAAACAAAAGAAAAATTTGGAAACTTTAAGTGCAATTGAATGAAAAGTTGTCACATTATGTTTTGTATTGAAAAAGTTGCCATAATTATAATGAAAGGTCTTTGGTTCATTTGAAAACCCATTAAATCTCAATAGTGTTTCATTAATTCATGGGTTTTCTCAGCTCAAATTGATTCAAAAATATGAGAAATAATCTCACATAACGAGCTTTCAACTTTAGTTCACATGAAAATAAAATGGATAAACAATTGAGCATGAAAAATTGCTATTCAATTGGCAAAAGAAACAAATACAAAGTAAAATTGGATACAAAATGCTTAGTCTTGTAAAGTGGTTCAACTTGTGAAATCGTGAAACATTTTCATGGTTATGACGGTCATGGAAGGTAATAAAAGTTGATTAACAAGATATTAGTTTCTGGTGCTGAGACTAACTGCAAATTTATTACAATTGTAATGACAGTTGAAACAGTTATGCTTACTGGCTCAGAAGTTAAGGTTAAAACAATTGAACTCATTCCATGTTCTGTTGCTAAATTAATATCTGTGTTTCGAATCAACCAAATGTTATGCTTAATGTTATTATTAAATTATCCAGTTTTTTACGCGTTTCTGACAGATTGAACTGTTCTATTCATCTTGTCAACTTCAGTCTGCAACATTTCAATCAGTTCAATCCCAATAAAACTTTATTCACTTTTCTTTATCACAATTTACAGCCTTAACCAGTTTTATTTACAAGCAATTTAATCTAGTTTGGTTAGCTTATGTCACGAGTTGACTGGAATTTACTTTTCATCAATCAATTCTATGATCGAGTTTAAATGAAAGTTTACTTTTACCAACGATTTTTATTCTCTTCTTGTTATTTAATTGATGTTTCATTTTAATGGTCATCTAATGGTCAAAAGAACCTTTCATCATTCGCACATTCAATATTATTCAACAGTTAATTAATGATACACAAGGAAAAAATAGTCAAAGGTTGTTGATTACCTTTCCAATTCAATCAAGTTGACCGTACATTTGCACACCATTTATAGTGTAATGATTTATAGTGATTAAGAATGTAAATTAACACATTATCGCACTATTTTACTTTTGACTTTATCTTCGCTTTCGAATGAGAAACTCTTGACAGTTTATGTTTAACCTTTTCAGGCTCCAAGTTTTCATCAGTTTTTTATATTCTTGCGAAAAGTTCAGTAATAACTTTTTTAAAATATTTTGCGTCTCAAAAGAAATTATCAGTAATTAACTTTTCTTTGATCAACCATAAGTTCACCAATAAAACTGTTTCATTACGCTCATTTGCATTAAGTTTCGCTTGAAATTTTTAATTAATCTTCGATTGAAATGCATTCCAAAGCTATCAATGAAAATTTAAATTAATATTAATACATTACTAAATGTCTTTTCTTGAGAACAGAATCAATGCTCGACAACATTTTGATCAGATTTTCTATTAGTAGCTGTAAACTGCCTTTAATGAATAAAACATTGATCATCATTGATTATTAAAAGATCTTTAGATCACTTTTAGATCTTAATTTAAAATACTTATTTCTGTTAATGATTTTTGTTTATTGAAGTGAAAAAGTACATTAGCTATCTACTAATAGTCTAATCTTGGGAATTATTTAATGAATAGAATAATTATGTCGTTTAATGTATTTCTAGCTTTTGACATCTTCCATGAGCATTTTTATCTTGCCATCATTGAACTTTATATCAATGCAGCAGTGCAAACAAAAGAAGGCAACTCCAAGAGAATGCATTCAGTATTTATGAATAGCAATTAATGATTCATCTTATTGATTACAACTTATTGAAGTAGAGTTGGAAAGCTTATTAAAATCGCCAAACTAAAATCCCAACATTTTGATGCAAGTAGAAATAAAAAATGCAATCCTAACAATACAAGTCAATGGACAAAATCAATTTACCAACATGGAATAGCATCATGAATTGGATTCCCTTGAGTTAACAACAATTTTATTCCGTTTCTTATTTCGTTTTAAAGTTTTTGTTTGTTGATATTTGAATTGAATTTTGCATTTTGCAACAATTTAAATTCATATATTTACTGATTACAAAGGTTGCAAGCAAACTGACGAGAAGAAATGAAAAGAAAGGATGAAATTTGATTATCAAAAAGCAAGTAAAGACAATGAGAAACAGAACCATAAAAGAATTAGAATTTCACTTAAACTGAATAGAGTTTTTGTTTGAGGATGAAACTAATCAAAGTATCAAAATTGTTAGTCAGATAAACCTTCTGAACCATTGAATTTCTTTTATTCGCAACTGTACATTAATTATTTGGATTGATCAGTTTGATCGAAGAGTCACGTTAAAATGTTGCAACGATTGTCTTGCTTGGAAGACTCATCAATTAGAGTTACATTAAGTCAATTATGAAAAACAAATTAGCTTAATTAGATGGTAAAAACACAGGTTAGTTAATCAGGTAATTTACAAGGTGAATTTAAATTGTTGTATTTCAGTGGAAAAGGTAAAGGACGAGAAAAAGAATAGTTTAACCGCAGCAAAAAAGGTTCCAATTGGTAAGCAAACATTATCCAGAGTAAATAAAGCCACAAATAAATTGCATTTTCCGGAAACTTTTTATTCATATTGTGATATTTATTTATTTATTTTTTCCTTTTCATCATCTTCTTCTCATTTCTATCATGAAATGTACAGTAAAATGTGAAGACTAGATGATGAATCAAGAAATGTGAGTAAAGATGGAAAAGGAAGAGATGACGAACAAGATGAGACCGAATGAAAGACTTGAATGAAGGAAATAATGGTTATTAAAGTAACATCCCTAAATATCCCCTGAACATCCCAAGAATCTAATAGGGAGTGAAAGTGCAAAAGGATGGGAAAGAAGAAGAAGAAGGAAAGAAAGAGAATATCTTTTTTTTCTTCTTCTCTTGCTATCGAACCTTTTATCATTTCCTCATTTCCAATCACCCTTTTCCTGAATCTTCATACAAAGTATTCAACTTCATTGGATTTTTTGTTCACCCTTTTTGCACTTTTTTCTTGCTTCCTCATCACCAGTATCATCATTATCATCATCAGTTTAGATTCTGATTTTTTCCCCTTTCTCAGGTTCTTGAGAGTTTATACACTTGCAATCTTCATCTTGATCATTCTCGATAGCACGAAAAACTCCCATCAAAATATCCATGTGATTAAATGCGATTTGATATCCACAACTATTTTCACTCCAATTTATCTCTTCTTTTCCTTGTTCCCTTCCTTCGTCTTTTCCTTCGTTTTCTTACCTTCCTTTTCCATTCTCACCTGAATCACCGAGTCTGCTATTATATCTAATCAACAGTTAATCCTTTACTTTTTGAGCAAAAAGAGAAACCATTTTGTCTTCTTTAATTACATTCAAATGATAAGTTTTAGTTATCCTTCATCCATCACCATTTAATCACCTTTTTATTCAAATATCAATTACTTAACTACTTTCATGATGAATTTCATTTTTCTTCTTTGCTCTTCTTTCCTTATTACCATTTACGGGTTACAAAGGAAAGACTAAATTGATAATCTTGTCCGATTGACCATTAACAATGGAAACAAGACTAAACTCTAGAGAAGCAAGAATTTTCTCATTTTCAGAATAACTTTTCCTCGTTTCTCTCAGATGAATCAATCAGTTGTTGGAATGTTTAATCAGTCAGATGAACAAGTGAGTTATTACATGGACCATTTGAGATATTGAATCAACTTTTTTTTCTATTTTACTGTTATTATAGATTAGATTATCTTCAAGTATCATTATCACCCATTTATTTTTCAACATTCATCATGCATCATCATGAACTGTTCATTAGAAAATATAGACTAAAATCGAGACTTGAAGCTTGAGTAAACATTGAGTTATCATAATTTGACAAACTTTCCCATCAAACTTATCAATTTTGTGAGCAAGTTTTTCGTTTCAACTCAGATTCAACGAGAATCGAGAATCAACTTTTTTCTTTTCTTTATACATCTTGGGCGAGAAGACAGATTCCCCTGTTAATTAAACTCATCCAATCCAAAACTAATTGTATCCAATAATACAAATAAACTCTTTTATTATCAATTCAGTTGAAGTCATTTTATTTATTTTGATTTATGTTATCAACTTGTTATTTGAATAAATAAAGGTTATACCAAAAGGTAAAACTTTTTTGCACGTTGATTGATTTTCTGATCACAACTAGACACTGAACAGAAAAAAGCCTTTGAGCAAAGTTCCCTTCCTAGCTAATCTCAACATGAAGATGAAAAAACTTTTCTTCATTCGACATAAAAATCTCATTGATTCGATAATGATTAGACGACAATTTATTTCGTTGCCTTTTACAAATCAAACAGTTTGAATGTTCATTTAGATATACTTTTAGCTATTCAAAAGGAAGGTTGAAGTAAAATTGAATAAATCTCAGTTTTGGCTTGAAAAGTGTGAGAATAAAGTTAAGATGAAAATTTGTTTTGTAATTTGCAAGTTTTCCCGGTTCCATTTTACGTTAATTTTTATTACCAAATCAAAGTTGAACGATTAAGTTGAGTTGTAGCTTGCGTCTTCCATCATTAATCACTAACACTGAACGTGAATTAATGTTGCAAATGAGATAATTGAAAAGGAATTAAAAGGATTTATTATATTTTTCTATTAAACATTTTGTACTTGAGATTTTATCAAATTGGAAACAAATTGTGAACCAATTAATGTTTCAGTTTTTCATCTTTTTTTCATTAACTTTAATAGTTGCTCAACTGAGCTGTAAATAAGTTAGGATAATGAATTTCATTAGTGCCTATCCAATAGCAGCTTAATGTTATTTAATAAACATTACTTATTCATAATGGAATCATAATATTCCATGGGTTTCAATTGAACATTACTTTAATTGCAAGTCTAAAATTGATCGTTAATCGAGAGTAAAAACGAATTGTTGGTTGAATAAATTTTAAGGAAAATGCTATTGAAAGGTTAAAGCTTTAATACTCAATCCCAGTTGACTGAACAATTGATTCAAATAATATTTTGTTTTCTTTATTCTTCTACAATTTGAAACTTAATCAGTGAATAAAAGGTAATAATAAAAATATAAGTTTGTAAATCTAGTTGAAGGAACATGATGATGACAGAACTGAAGAGAACATTGAAACTCTTGAGATTTCATTTGTTGAATAAGTCATTGCAGTTGATAACTTTGCATATTTGAATGAAAATGTATAATTGAAAAAAAGAAATAGAATCATGAATTGAATTTGGAAAAGAAAAGATTGAACAAGACAAACCAAAAGTGTACAAATTGAATGATACATTTTATTCTTGTATAGCAAGTTAGGTGATCAGACAATATGACTTGGTTCAATTCAAGTATAAATTTTGGATAAGTGTTTCATCGACTAGCTTTATTGACACTAAATTTCAATCATTATTTAACCCAACTTAAAGTAAAACAAATCAAAAGTAAATCAAAAATAAACTTTTCTCATTTGGAGAAGTATTATAAAATAACAATGAATAAAAATGAACAGATAAATTTGCATGTAAATCTATGTTAATTCAGTTGATGGTTTAGTGGTAAAATGATTTGTTTTTCATCTCAATAAACTGAAAGTTTATTGTTATTATATAAACTGGAACTATTCAAATCAGATAACATGAAACAGGGCTGAACAAGATAAAAGTATTTACTAATATTTAAGGTGGCTTAGACAATCACAACTTATGATTGTATAAGCTGCTTTTAAGACTTGGACAGAGTGAAAGTTTTGAACACATTAAATCGTTAGGGTTCAATTGCCAATGATTTACTAATTTAAGCTTTTCAATCTTCAAAGGATTACGAAGTTGATCTTTACTTGAGGCAAACTTGGCTCGATGAAAGACTTAAAACTCCGAAACTATCAAAACCTTTGGACTTAAATGACCCCAAATTGGTAACCATGATCTGGAAACCGGAAGTTTTCTTTGCCAATGCTAAACACGCTGAATTTCAATATGTAACAGTGCCAAATGTACTTGTACGTATCAATCCAAACGGATCAATACTTTACATGCTCAGGTAAGTTTAAGTTTTGAATTTGGTGGAAAAGTTACAGAAATATTGAGTTGAACTCTCAAACTAAAGAAATTCAATTTCAAATATTTTGCTGGGAGTTTTATTTATTTATATTGCTGCAATCATCATTCCAGTTTTTTTGTTTGCTTTATTTTTTTCATTTTATCAGTTCATCTTCTTTAGTTTTTGTAATTGAACAAATTATCAAAGGATAATTTCCTTTTTTCTTTCAACTATTATTAAGATGAAAGTTTATGGCAAATTTAATTTAGATCATTTCTCTCATGATATGAAATAAAAAATAAGAAAATAGCAAATAGTTTATCCAATAACTTAAGTCACATTATTCATTTATTTTTCCACTTCAATTCTGCATTTGAGTGTTATAAATGAACATTTAAAAATTTGATCCAATTTTCAGTTCTCTGGTCAGTTTCAGTGTAAAAGTTTTGTCCTTTCAACAGTTTCATAAATTGTTTCCATAACATCGAGTTGTGAAGCTTAAACATCCAAAGAAAGCAGTTAACGTCACAGGGATTGAATATTGAAATGCGATATATAATACAACGATATGTTTCGTTACCAAGAAATTTGGCTTATATTCCTGAGGTTCATAATTTTGAAATTGAAATGATGAAGTGCCGTTTAGATGGTTTAGTGGTTTGATGATGTATCAAATATAACTTTGGATATAATTCATTATATTAAAATAGAACGTAAATTATTTTCAGGAAAACCTTTTTCATTGACTTTCCTTTTATTCAATATTAATGATAACCATGTTATCGGGTTAATATCATCAATATCCTTTGAATTTCAATGGTTAAAACCTTGAATGATGTGAAATGATCCATGAAAATGGAACAATTACGAATAACATTAGACTGGATTAAAGTTAAACAATCGGTGAAAAGAAGGTAAAAATTATTCTGATTCTTTCATTTCATGTGAAGATAAAAATATGATCAATTGGTTTTATTTTGATCAATGAAATATCTGTCAATGGCAGCAAATTGATGAGAATGAAGAGAAAGAAGATGATGATAGTAAGAGAAAATTGCAGCAAAAAGACTAAAGGATGAGAATGAAACGGTAAGATGATAATGATGATTTGATGAAAAAAGAAAAGAATTGGAAGAAGGAAAAGGAGAAAAAAGTAAGGCAAAGAAGTGAAAAAATTGATAAATTTCTACTCCCAGTGTAAATGGAAGATTTCAAGAGGATTTTTTATTCTTTTGTTGATTATTTCCCATTCTATCCATTATTTTGGTTCAACCATTTGAACCAAAGTGTAGCGAGTAAAAAGTACTAAAACATTTTTCATTGCCAGCCTTATTATGTTTCATGTCAAAAGATTGATATCATTGAACCATTTAATACGGTTAAATCGAGTCACTTAGAAATGATAAAATAGGTTATCGTTTAGGTTGATTCATTTCCGTTTCATTGTCAATCGATATGTGATACTTGCAACGGCATCAGTTGCTTCAGCTTTAGGCTGTTTCCAGTAATGAAAAAAGTTCACTTCTTTTTTCAGCTAATAATTCAACTCTTGTCTCTGTTTCCAACTGTAAAGTTAAAAGAAAAAACATGTTTTTATTCATTCAATCTCTTTTCTGTCAACTAGTATCATAACTTTTAAAATCGCATTTAGTAATTATTCTGCAAATTGGACATGTTAATTGACATGGCTTGTTCCGAAAGTTTGGCAATTAAAGAGAAAGAGGTGAAATTGAACAGAACAACCGATGAATTTTGTTATTGGCAAGCCTTTACCACAATTGAAGCTAACCATAAGTTGAAAAATGTTACAACAAAAGCACACTTTTATGAATGATGTTCATGAAATGAGATTGACATTTATGATAGCAAAAAGTTGAAAAAATTTCAAGTTATCTCTATCATGTTTGAAACAATCATGACTTGTTTCGAGGTTCTTTGATTAAAAAAGTTCTCACCAATCTTTCATCTTTTTGGTTTTCCTTTCTTTTCCCATGTTGCATGTTGCATGTTGTTTTGTATTGGGTTTTATCAATTGGAACAATGTAATTTTGTGAGAGCAAAAAATTGAACTGAATAATAATGAGAAAATCTTTTGTGATGCTTCATTTCATCAACAAGACAAAAAAGAAAATGAAATGAAAATTTTTCTCATTTATATAAGTTGAAGTAAATGAAACAAAATAAATTCGTCTTTTCTTTCAGTTTTAAGACACAAGGAATAGAAAGAAGAAGTAGATAAATGTTCCAACACAATATGCAACTTAATGAATGACCATTTACTCACCGTAGAGAATAATAACAGTCCAAGAACTGGACCATCAAAAAGTTGACCAAATGAAGTTGTACCAGTCCATGAAAATTTATCTACATTAATATTGTTCAATGATATTATTATTATCGTTATTATCATCATCAGTAAACAGTAAATCATTGAGTTGGACATGAATTGTTTTTAATCAATCAACCAACAAAAAGACTGCTTTAATCAACTTCTGACTCATTTAATAATATTGTTTTTCACTGCGCTCATTTAAATGGCTATAAATTGAATGATATTTCTTGTTCTCAGACTTAATGGACTTTACTTAAATTGAAACATTAAAGGCTAACGTCCCTTGTCCAAGTCTCAACTATTCATATAATATTACAGAGTATTTTAACCATTGTGTCTAATCGTGTTCAGTGGGGTAGATTTAAAATAATGAGATCTTATGAAATAGTCTATAATATTTTCACATTTCATTATTCGTAGATTCGACATCATAATTGCAGTCGTGCTTTTTATTGTAAAATTAATGCATAAATCGATTTGCATAATGAATTTATAAACAATACTCGAAACAAACATAATGCAAGATGCAAGTTTTGCAAGAAAGGTCGATAAAGAAGATTTAGAATCAAATCAAGTTGATGGTTGAAAGTGTTCTGTTTACTGCTCTATGCCACTGAAGTTGTCATAAAAGTTTGGTTTCAACAAAAATCAAAATATTAGCAGCTTTGTTGCTCAAAAGTGATGAAAGAGCTATTCTATTTATCATCATGATTACCAAGAAAACAAAGAAAATTGAGTCAGATTGAAATGTAATGAAAAATAAAATTGCAGTCTCCTTGTTTTATTTGATAAACATGTTCTGTTGTTATGGATGCTTTTTAATCATTTGTTTCGTCCAAACCATATTTATCTGAAATGCTTTGATATCACTCAAGTTATTAGGAAAATCAAAGTAAATCAATTCAGATCATCAATATAGAGTGAATTCAGCATCAAACCTGCGTACTTATTTGCTAATTGGAAACAATTTTTGACTCTTTGTTTATTTGACACTGTTTACATTTTTACCTTCAGTCTTTTCTGTTTTAAGATTTTGCAATTTACACAATTCAATAAGTTTTTCATTTGAAATGCAAACATTTTCATCATCGTAGCTAAGGAAAGACTAAGTCTTGAGATTAGGGAACTCGAAAATTGTTTTGTGTTTCTCAAAAGTTTTGTATCGTTGCTTACTCAGATCATGTTCGTTAATAGAATTCGCATCTGATGATTAATAGATAATCAAATTTTAGGCATTCAAAAGAGTTACTCTTCAGCAGAGGCAACGAATGAACCACTTTCAAGCTTAGTATAGTTGGTATGATAGAAACTCAGACCTGAAATATGCTGATCCGGTAACACTTTACAGAGGACAGAAGACTATTATAAAACGGTATGCACTGCTGTAGCAGTTAGATTAGGAGCCATAAATCACCTTAAATAGTTCGTAGTCGAACGTGAAGGCGACCGTTCCATAAGGGCATTCATGTCTATACCGAATTCAATTGCAGAATATAAATTTCTTAAAGTATTAACTCTCTACAAAACTGCACATTAATAAAGGATTTTGATGCATAAGTCAAACTCTTTCTATTACATCATTGCTTTTCTCAATAAATAATCCTACGATATTGCCTTCCAACGAACCTGAAATCCAGACTTCCTGCAAACCTCTGATCCAGCGACTATTACACCAGGCTAGCATACACACAGATTTGCTCCACAATTCGGCAAGGGATGCAAGGCTACAAAACATTCTGATTAACTGAACTCTGAATGTGATCTAGAAACAGTGAGGTTGTAAACTATTAATGATAACAAGTGCATAAGGTTGAAAATTATGTTAGCATATGTTGATATTGCTCTAGCACAGTAAAGTTTGTCTCAGATCCGGACTTTAAAAGGATAATAATGCAAAAATATGTAAAATGTATTTCTTTCATCACTTCGACATTGATGAATAAAGTACATGAAACAAACTTGATGTCGTGTGAATTTATGGCCCAGTATATTTAATCGATGTATTTAATTCTCTTCTCTCTTTCCGTCTTCAAGCTTTCGAATATTTAAATTGTTCGCAAATTCAAGTCGAATTCATTCTATTGAAAAAAATTGTTCTGAGCATAAAAACTCTGACAAATCATGTTATTCAATTGGAACAATCTTTTCTCATTGACAATTATGTAAATGCAAATTCACTTTTTCCTTTCACTTTATATCTCATGCTGAACAACTAGAAACTCTTTAACTTTGTATTATCAAGTTACTTCATTATTCACATTGCATCCATTTACTTTAAGATTATCATTATTATTAATACTATTACTTTTATTTGTGCAACTATTATCTTTATCTAACAAGATCTCTGTTATTACCATTTCACAACTGATTCTACTAGAGTTTCCTAGTCATTTACTAAAGATTTTTTACACTCTTTTCGTCTCTTTCATTCCATGTTATTGTTGTAAAATATCGTTCCTTGGTGAATGAAAAGATGAAAAACCAGGAAAAAGTTAAGTTCACATTAATGCATATTCAATATGCATTTCATTCAAAAACTTGACGCTTATTCTCATTATTCTCTGCATTTTAACATCATTAGAATATTTTTTCTATTATTCTCTTTTTATTGTTGGCCCATGTGAAGTAGGGTTAAGAGCAGCAATGGAAAGATCAAATATATCATTAACTAATATTTAAAATAAAAGTAAAAAATTACTTTATATCTTTGAGACGAAAATTTATCAAACTCAAATGCGAAGAGCAAAAGTAATGCAATACAGAAGCTATAATATTCAAATCGATCGAATACTGTTGGGCGAGGTAAGAAGACCAATGAAATTGATTATTACATCGAATATTCAAACTCTAATCCTGCTTTACATTTACCACGATTGGTGATCGACCATCGCAAGCAATATGTCAAGCTAAAATTTGACAAAATAGTGCTGAGTAGAACTCAAATGATCATAGTTCGAAGCTGTCTTCTACAAGCACATTGTCTCTGCTTATGGTAGATACTTTATGCATTTTAAACGCTCGTTAAACACTTGGAATAAATTAAACTTGAATTAAGTGATTATTTCATCGATTAATGATTTTCAAAAGAAAAGGTAAACTTATATTCAACTTCAGCTGAATCGTTAATGTGTGATAAACGTGTTAGAATAAGATCAAGAGGACTTTGATTATTAGGTAATGAAACACATTCAAGGTTCAATTTTGTTCACACATATTACTTTACACTCGAAATACGTTGTGTCAAATAGAAAGTTCAGTCAGCTATAAATTGGGAGAAAATTTTAATGACAGTGAATTGCAGTTTAGTTTAGACCATGAAAGACATTTTCGACTTCAAAACATCGAACTTCTAAAAATTGCTTCAAAACAGCAAAAAGGAGGAAAAAGAATGCGATGAAGATGCGAATGAAGAGAAAAAAATCGAATGAGATTAAAATATTTCATATTAAGGATTGATTGAATTGAAACAATCTGAACCAATACGATTGATGAATAAATCGTAATAGATAATTTCATGTTCTTATAAATTGAGAAACATCATGAGTCTGAGTACACAGAAAAAGTCTAAGGCCAGCAACGAGTAAGAACGAATAATTTATAAACTCTATTTTGTTATTGTATAAATTGTTATTGTTTTATATTTACAAGAAATAATATCGAATAAAACTTTTTTTGAAACAGACCAAGAATTAAAGAAAAAACATTTGAATTATTTTCATCCTGAAAAACCATGAAACTTATCACTTACTCATTTGCTATCTTCCTCCATTCCTGATCATCACGTATAGTAATTTTATTAGGAGCTTGAAATGGTAAATATGTAAATGCTGAATTATTTTCTTTCATCTCAAACACTTATTCAAATTGATAAAATGTGCAATTGAATAGTGTTGATCAAGTTACCAATAAAATAGTTCATGCGATTTTGTATAAAGCAAGATGAATTGATGTGCAAGTTTGATGAAATTTCGAGTTTCAATTTTCCATATAATTTTTCTATTCTTATTGACACAATAAGACAAAATATAAAATAATGCAGCCCAAAATTGTTTCAATTGCACTTTCAACCCACATTTGACTCCTTTCGAAGATGCTTCAGTGGTGGAAATTTTCACTTTTTTCTTGTAAATCAAATTAAATATCTAATTTTTATTATAATTAAAGTGCACAGATTGATGTCGTTTGTGAGACAGACAACTAAACAAGAAAATTTTGGACTAATGCAAGGAAATTTCAGCTTTGAAATTGATTGGATCTGTCAATTTATCAATAAGCATTTTTTCGTGGAAACTATGATCTTTTAACTTGCAACATTCATCATCTTCATTCTATCGAAGAGAACATTTCTCAAAACATTGGGATCTACATGTATACTTTAACATGGAATCTGCAGGTCAACTGCTGAACTGACTCGAACTTACTTTTTGCATGTCAATTTAATTTTACTTTCAGCAAACAATGAAACTCTAAATTGACTGTAAAAAAGTCCGTAAAGATAAAATTTAGAGTGAATTTATATTACAAAATCTAAAATAAGGTCTGGAAATTGTGTATTGACCCAAAAACCGTTAATATTAGTCAGTTCACCAAAAGCTGTTTAACTGTACAAAATTATTTTCCTTGCAACTTTCATTTTCCTTGTTGGTCAATTAAATGGATAAAAAGTGTCAGTTTTACAAGTTGAAGGCAAAACTCTTGAGGATTACTGAAAGTTATTTTGTGTGGAAAGGAAAGAAAACAATGAAAAAAAGTTTAAATGTGAATGTAAAGACTTTACATGGAGTGAAAACTCCCAACGTTAAGTCGAAACAATTTAAAAGTTAACTGATAGGAAATGAAAATCGAGTTCAGTATTTGAAAAGGGAATTACCATGGCACAGGTTGAGTATTCAGATGCCACAAAAGTTTCATTACGATGTAATACATTTTGTATCACATTTTAAATCTTTAAAATGATTTTTATTGCTTCTTCGTAAACAACTTTCAAAGATTTTGTTGATACAAATACAAATTTAAACAATAATCTCAACACTCAAATCTTTCCATCTCATTTCACTGAATTATTTCCAATAGTTTGCCGTTTATTATTTCAAAATTGATACATTTTATTTTGATTAAGTTGTTCAATTATAATGCTCAATTGCAAGAGATACAAAATATAAAAAGACTTTAAATTCAAGGTAAAAACTGATGAAAAATTGAATATGATGGAATTTATCAACTCAATTGAACTCATAATGAGTTGATTAAATTTACAAATTGATGATCAATGAAAGCGAAATTCAAGCATGAAAACGGAGAAGAATGTTACATTGAAATTATTCTTTTGTATTTAGTCGAAGAAACTTTTGCTTTTTGTATAACATTGCTTATTTTGTTCAAATTGTTTGTGGTTTTACAGATGAACAGTAAATTGCTTTGCTTCATGACAAAATAATGATAACAGTTTTACAAGTTCTACTCGTTAAACATGAATCTGGCAGTGTGAGCACAAAAAATGGGTGAAGATGAATGAAAAGGAAGTTGAAAGAAATGTTCAACAAAAACTGACGACCATTTCATTGATGCTTTATTGTTTATAAGAAGTTCACTTTTCCCTTTCTTTCGTCTCTTTTTTGTCCCATTGATACTCATTCAGATTGATTACTTCGCAATGCTTTTCATCAAAATTTATCGCTTCATTCATTTCTCTCTCCCTGTTTTCCCATCATTTTTCATCCTCGTCTTTCGTCGCACCATTCCAATCATAATGAAGATTATATTGTATTGGCTTTAAACCTCTTTTGTCAGGTTAAACTTTTATTTTTCACTCACTCTTTTAATACATTTACCCTGATTCTTTACAAAGGCAATTTATTTTCAATAGAAAGTTGCAAATCTAATGAACAATTAAAAAAGGAACAACAGTTGGATCCCAACTGAGAGACAGTCTAATTTGGTTTGGGCTCGATTTGCATCAATTTTCAACATTTTCCTCGTTTTCATATTTATCATTCACTTTTAATCTCAATTGTTCTTGTTCATGCTTTCCATTTTAGCCCTTTTTCACGAGAATTGCTGCTTTTTTAAATTGCTCCTTCATTTATATTCATTTTTTTCAAATCTTGCCATTTCCTATTCAATTTTTGGGTTTTAGCAAAACAAAAAGATGACACTTTTCATTTCAAAACTAAAACGATAAACTTTGGCTATAAACGACATCTAATCCATCATCAAAATTTAGAAATGAATTGTATTTGATTTAACTTTGTTGCAAATTCCGTTTGGAATTTAGCACATCAAAATGATTGGGAAACGTAAAATACTTTGATGGTTCCGTTTCATTAACAAACCATGAACAACAGTAAAATAAAAGCATATAAGCTTATCCGAAGAGTTACTACTTTGCAAGTGGAAAAAAGCCGAATGAATAAAGACTAAACTAAAAAGAGTTGCAAGTTGAACCATCAAAATTATAATAGACTCGTTTACCTTTTTGGCCGAATTTTTGCTTCCCATCAACTTCAATTATCTTTTGTGTGTTGCACAAAATCTCATCATTTTACTCCAAGTTATCATCACTGTTGAAACTTCATCTTACCTTGTCACTTTATGTTCACGTAAGCAAATGAATAAAATTGAAAGAGTAAAGAAGTGGAATAAAAAACAAGTCGAAAGAAACCTAAAAATGCTTTCAAGTTGTTGGTTAAGAATGAAATGTCATTGAATAAATAAGATAAAAAACGTTTTCCTTTACTATTCAGGTAAATGTGATGAACAATTTTACCCTGAATCTGCGACAAAAGTAAATATTTTCATGTGCTCTTTACTTCTTCACCATTCCTTATTTGCCATCTTGAGCATTTCTCACCTTTTGTCAGCAAGTCTTGAAGATGAAACTTTTCCTTTTCCTTTTTCATGTTTTCATAATAAACTATGAACAAATTATCATGAAACTCTGCTCAATCTTTATTCAATCTCATTACTAAAGAATGAAACTCTACGTCCTCTCTCTCTCTCTCTCTCTCTCAACTTGTCTGTCCATTAAATCAAAGTTACGTTTCATGAATATGTACAACTAATCAGTATTTCTATCTTTTTTCTTTTTCTTCTTTTTTAGGTTGAAACTTCGATTCTCTTGTATGATGGACTTGTATCGATTCCCAATGGATTCCCAGGTTTGCGCTATTGAGCTTGCATCATGTAAGTTTACTGATCAAATATGATTTTCAACTCTTCTTTTCTTCTTTTAAACCAGCACTGCCAATCCAAAGCAGCAATTTGTCCACAAGCAAAGTCCATTATTTTTATGATATTTCCATATATTGTCCATGCAATAAAATTTACAGCAATAAACTGAAAGAACATCAGAAATGAATAAATAAATAGCAGCACAAAGACTGTATAGAGTCTGAAATAAATGAAAGGTTAAATCGCAGATGCACCTCCATGCAGATGAAAAATCAATTAAAAGAGTAAGAAAGGACTGAAAGTTTATTAAACAAATTACTTGTTGCTTGTCCAATTTCAGGATAATAATGCATCAATTTTCAATCTTAAGGATTTTCATGCTTTGAAAATTAGTTACTTTATTAGCTGGCTAAATGTGGTATGCGCTAAGCTACCTCATAAGGTATTTCAATGTAAACAGTTGAAATCTCCATCTTTGCAGTTGAATTTCATGCTTCATCTAGAACATAGCCAGTTGATAGAATTAATATCAGAAAAAACTGAATAAATAGCAGAAAATGTGCTAATGTTCAACTAAATTGTTGGAGAATCAGAGTTGAAAGAGAATAAAACAATTCCATTTGATTCGGATTCTTTTTTCATTGTCTTTTCGCATTCAATTTCGCCATGTTTCATTCTGATGGTTCTCTCATGGAATCATTAATAATATTATTATTATTCTGTTTGGTGTCACAAACAGAAGGATATACCTTTCACTCAAACCAAATAAAACCCTTTTTCCTTCAATGCTCAATGATAATGGAATATGAAACAACTCATTCAAACAGAACTATTTTCCTTTTTTCGTTCCGATTTGCTTTTTAATATTTCTTTAATCATCAAATTTTCACTTTTCCTTCAATTGAAATTTACTCATTGAATCGTGTTTGCGTTTTATTCCGCCCTTCTTTCGATTTTAGTTTCAAAGACGACAGATGAACTCCAACTTAAATGGAAAGAAACAGATCCAATAGTTTTATATGAGAATCTTAAGCTTCCACAATTTCAAATTGAACATTGGAATACATCTTTATGTAAAGAAAAGTTTCAATTTGGTAAGTCAACTCTAATCTGAAATTATTATATTACCAGTGAATTGCCATCGACTTGTTTGAATGAATCAAATTTGTGTGTCAACCAATGCTTCGATCCTCGTCATGGTCTTGATAATTGACTGCAATTTCAATATGAATACCATTTAGCTAAAGGCTTAACCCTGTGCTTAATAATTGATGAGTGAAACTGGTCAAGTTTCTTACTGCATAAAGCTTCCCTGCAATCCTTGAAACAAATCAAAAATCGATGCTGTTGCGAAAATTCTCGTTTAACCTCGTTCATGCCAGTTTTCCAAGTGAAATATTTTCAGGTTAAAACTAATTTGCAACTAACGACCATCAAAACTTTTTAACCATATTAAGCCATCAATCATTCACTCCAACTAATATTCAAACTGTTCCAACATTTATAAAGTTCTTGTACCTACGACAGTATGGAACTGCAAACCCTCCAATATGCATTCTGTATACCAATACAGAATGCATATTGGAGGCGTAAATATAAAACAGTAAACTCACTAATAGTTTCACTTGTTAAATAAAATGTTTCTGGTTATCAATACTAGTGTAAAGAGAAGAAAACAAAAACAATTTTTACATTCGTTCACTTATTTTTATTCTGTTGATAGAAAGTTTCATTATCAAACGATAAAAGAGGGAAAATAAAATTGATGATAGTCTAACAGAAAATGTATTTTTCTTTACTCATTCCTTATTCTTCTAGCCATGAATGTCATGGGTAACAATGAATTATCATGAAATGAATGCTGTTTATAAGTCAATATGTTTCAATGAGAATAGAAAAGCAAAGAAATAGAAAAGAGCAAAAATATAAACACAAACATAAAAAAAGCGTAAAAATGTTGAACAATTTATTCCAAGAAAACAATGTTACATGATCAAGGAAGTTATTTCATTGAGAGCCTTTGATTGATCAGTTTTGATCAGTTGCTGTGAAATTGCTCAGTGCTCGAAAAAAACTTGGAATCAAGGCAAAACCTACTCCAATGTTGAGGTCAAATTGATTTTAAGCTTGTAGACTTTTCAACCTATCAAACAAGGTTTTCTGGTTTCAAATCAAGTTGAATGAAATGTTTGAAGTGTAAAAAAGTGCTCAAAGGGAAAGAAAACAAAGCAAACAAAGTTGCTAATTAAAAGCTGGACAAACAAGTGACATGCAAGTATGGATGAGCTGAATAGGTGGATGACCACAGTAACCAAAAGCAATTTGTAATTGTCACATAACTCAACTTGAGACGACATTTGAAACATGATGGCCAGAAAAGAATCCATGAAATGTTTTTAGATGAAATGTTGCTACAAAAAGGAGAAAGCATAAGAATGACTAGGAATGGATAAGTAAAAAAAGGTAAACTCCATTGAATAAGTGGATGATGATGTGCAGATGGAAGGTGAAAAGAAAATGAAAAGAGATGAAAAGAAAAGACAATAAATGAAAGAGGAAATATTTGCTCGTTTTGACTCAATTTAATAAGCATGTAAGGTGCTGTGATAAAGATCAAGATTGAAGAATAAAGAATGCAAAGGAAAAAGTAAACGGAAAAATGACAAACGTGAATTGAAGTTTCTTTTTTCACTTCATCATTGGTCTGACTTTTTTATTATTGAGTGAAAATAAAGTCATCAGAATAATGATCATTACAGATGACTTTGATGCTGTCCATAATATGGATCAATGTTGAACTTTTGTCCTTTGATTTTTTTAATCTTTTTTTTCTCAGTCTCCGTTTCGTTGTTGGTTGACTTGTTGTCAACACCCAACATGATGATGGTTATGGTAGGAAAAGTATAATACAATAAAATGAATTGAAACATCTGAAAACTTAGACAAAAGTCGAAAGTTTTTTGAATTTTTAAATTGATCACTTGAAAAATTACAGAGCAGAAATTGAAACGATTTTTTTTTCTTTTTCAACCCTTAATAATCTAAATGATGCTACACTTTATCATCAACATCTATAGTTGAATGGTTAAATTATCTTAACGACACTCTTATTGCATTTTTTGCCTTCACCCTTAACATTAGAGTTCAGACCATCAATTGATGTTGTAAATAAAAGTTTAACTATTAACCTCAACAATGATCATTCTGGTCAGTTTTAGACTAAAACTTTTAGTACCTTGAGTTTATTGTCTGAGTATGTTCAAAGTCGACTAATTAATGTGTAAATAATCTTATAAACAACAAATTGATGAAAACTATGGGCTGCTTTCGTTCACTGAAACTTTCAATCATTTCGACTGAATTTCAGTGAAAATATGACAGTTCAACGCTTTCAACTGTGAATAATTTAATGATCAATGTTCAATTTTGATCTCCATTTCTATCTGAAATAAAATATAAGTGAACAAAATGCATTTGATTATTTAAATTATTTATCAATGGTTCGTAATATTAATACAAATTCATTTAATCAAGGTAGGAGATTATTATTATTTTCAATCCCAAAGAGTCTCACCTAATTATTGAACGGATCTGAACATTATTTCTCTTGTGTCTCTTTAAAGTTTGGCCAAAATTCTTGACCGAAATGCGAATCGACGTGCTAATTTAGTCAACATTGAATCGCTTTGATCAGCTGGGATTGCGCTTCCAAAATTTTGATCGTAACATAAATGGATTTCTTGTTGGATAGGAACTAGATTTCATCCTAGGGTCCAATTATTATAGTTTCACTCTTTTTTGTAACATAAAAATATTCGGAATCATCTATTGGACGCAATTAATTTTTGTCACTGAATTTATACAAAATTACTGTCATTTTTAGCAATTCTGTTTTGTGTCAACAGACCCCGAATACACGCAGATTGATAGTTATCGAGAGTTTTTATTAGATTAGTTTGTTTTACAATGCACGGATTATTATCTGTTCAAAAGAAAACATTAAATAACTACATTACGAACATTCATAATTATCTTTCAACTCAAATCCCAAACTCAAATGTTTTCAGTCTTATTCTAGTATATTCAATACACACAAATTCATTGTTCCAACGGTAAAAGAAAGTCTTTTTTCCTTATGATTAGATCCAACTTCATAGAAAACTTGGAAGAAAAACTGAATGAAAAATAATTTTTTATTGGTCATGAACCATGATGAAGACGGAGATAGACACAGATAGCAGAAGAGTGGTGTAAATCATATTTTCTTGTGAAGTAGTTCATTTTTGTTTCATTGTCATGGTGTTTATTTTATTCTTACGATTGTTTTAGCATAAATCGACCTTGAGTAACCAGCGGATGATAATTTATTAAAATAAAACTTGGAGTGATCGGAAGGAAAAGAGAAAGCAATGATTCTAATGATAATCATCGAAATTGATTTCTTTTTGTTGGAGTTATTAATATTTCTTTTGTTCTTATTCCGAGTCGATCAAGAAACATAAATATTATCTCGTGCTTATCCACATTTGGAATGAAAATTTTTATCTTGTTTGTGTTTTGATTATGTATGATAATAAATGAGAAATAAGAAAAAATTTCATGATAAAATAAGTGCAGGAGTTTTATTCATTTTAGTTCTGTCTTGATACAAAGGAGAATGAAAAATGCAAGATATGCACAATAAATCTTATAATGGTGTGAAAATTACTTGAAACAGATTATTTGAGCATGCAATTTGACAATTATCATACTAAATATTATCTAATTACTTTTTAAGCCTTACTTGGATGGACATTGAAATAGTCAATTTGATCGACTAAGTGAAATAATCACATTCAAATGCATTTATTTAGATGAAAAATGTCCTTTTCGTTAAGTAACAATCGAGAGGATATTCTTCGAGATGATAGAAATGATTGAAAAAAGTTAAGAGTTGAATATCTTGCATGGTATGGTAATAGATGCCTGAGTTGTCTCAATATTCCAATTCCAAACTAGAACAAAAAGCTTATTTTAAAATTATTATAAATTGGTTTTCTTCTTTTCAGGTGAATATAGTTGCCTAAAAGCCGAATTTTATTTACAACGATCTCTCGGATATCATTTAGTTCAATCTTACCTTCCAACATCACTAATCGTTTTCATTTCATGGGTTTCGTTTTGGTTGGATATCGATGCAATTCCAGCCCGAGTTACTCTTGGAGTAACAACTTTGTTAACAATTTCGTCAAAAGGTAATTTTTATTCGAGTATTTATTATTTTTTACCTTTTCTAGATTAAAACTCACTATTCATGGATGCTCAAACTTAAAACTTGAACAAGTGAATATAAGATTTGAAGTAAAATATGATACGATTAATCTCGAAACTCTTCAAGACTATTTGGATATTTGTAATCTCTACGACATTTAGAGGCCCCCTGAAACCTTTTTTTATAATTAATAATAATTTGAATAATTTCTAACACAAGCATAGTATGAATCCAAGAAAACACATGTATCATTAAAACATTTTCAATTGAACAGGAAAATTTGTGTAGCTCATCAATCGTAGATATCGCTTATTTACAATAGTTCAATTCTTTTCCTCTGAACTTTTCTGTACATAGCATCAACAATTGTTCCTGGACTCAAACCCAAAAAAATGGCATTTTCATTTTCCCTGAAAGGAACAATGATTTCATTTAGATATGACTTATAATTAGATATAAGTTAGTCTTTATCGACTCCCTGCTCCATTAATATTTTTTTGTGTATTCCATCATAACCTGAATAGAAATCTTTCACCTTCTCAGAAATACCCATTCTCAATCCAAAAAGTCAAGACATACAGATTATAAAAATTTCCAAATTTAATCTTAATAGTTAATGACTCTTTCATGATTTTAAAATATTTTTAGGCTCAGGAATCCAAGCTAACCTTCCACCAGTTTCGTACATTAAAGCAATTGACGTTTGGATGGGTGCTTGCACTACATTTGTTTTCGCTGCTTTACTCGAGTTTACCTTTGTCAACTACCTATGGAGACAAAAATGCAAACAAAGAGCGTCACATTTTAGACAAACAATTACCAATTTAAAAGCAAACATTACAAACTCTACAAACAATCCAGCTGACCAAGCTAAAGTAAAGTTTTGATCAAATTATTGAATTGTTAATTAATAGATTTTTTCATTTCATCTTTTTTTGCTCTTTATATTCAAGAGAGACGAGGGAAAGACAAAAATGGTCTTTAATGGACCACCGAATGAACCAATTGGAATAACATTGACACGTCTCAGTGCAGGTGCGAATGGAGGCGGTGGTTGCAGTAGCAGCGGTGGTAGTAGTGGCGGAGGTAATGATCATTATGTGCGTTACCAACTTGGTGATGTACCCAAAGCATCTGGAATCGATAGAACTTGTCGATTTTTATTTCCAATGCTGTTTCTTGTGTTCAACACTGTTTATTGGCCTTACTATATTTACTAATTTAACGAACCTGTTGAAATGTTGAGAAAACAAAAATAAATTGAATATCAGAAAAACGCAAAACAAATCGTAAATTCAGCACATAAACATGAGAAATGAAAAAAATCAAGGAGAACAATAATTTTATGCAGCAGGAAAAAGTTATAATTATAATATTGTATACAAAAATATAATAATAATGCTATAATTCGAACATTGACCAATCTTTATGGTTCGATCTCATTCTTTCTCTATCTTCGGAATTTCAATAACGATAATCGAAAATCTGATTACGAAAAGAGGCTGTCTTTAGAAAATGATCTGCTAAAAGTTTGGATGTAAAGATCTCGTTATCAACTTTTTGAATGAAAATTTTTGCCGACAAGTTTATAAAGCTTTACTATGTGATGAAATGAAATTTCAAATGAGCAGATGCTAAAAAATGGAATTGTGTCCAAAAAGTGTCTAACTCAATTGGTTTCTTCGGAGCCAAAAGGAGGATAAACAATGATTTTATTAATCAATTTTGTTCACAGATGAAACTATTTATAAATAATTTAACTGTTCTGGAGTTTTTTATTTTTGCTACACATTTGGGGTAAAAAGTCGAGGAAGAACTCTAGTAAAAACTCTAGAAAGTTGAAATCGCCATAATAAAAATTTTTCTTGATGTACCTCTGTGCTCAAGGATACTCAAGTTTATTCATTTAATTACCTTGACAGTAAGTTTAAACATAACCTTGAATTTATTTACACTGTTTATTGTTTATATCATTTCGGCCTTAAATAAATAACTTGAACATTTACTCTCAAAAGAATTGATTTCAACAAAAGTTGAACAAATTTTTGCTATTTACTAGGTCAGCCGTGAAGCGGCGTAGTCTGAGCTCGCGTTTAGCTTCATCAATGAACACGAAAAGAGCATTTATAATTAAATAATTTTAAGATTCATAGGACTATGGACAAAAAACTTCGATTGTACCGTTTAGAGTTGGGACTTGATGAGTTTTTAGTGGTATATAAACTGAGTATATAGATGCCATTGAAATTTTTCGGTTCGACAGTTTTCGTAAAAATGAAGTCAAAGTTTAAAATTCGTTCGCCTTTTTTCAATAAGTAAACCAGATTTTGTCTGGTTCTTTTGCTGATTAACCAGAAAATGCAATTATCTTATATGATAAATTCTGTTTCTCTACGATCACTTCGATTTACAGTTGAATTGACCGTTTTCTGTGACTGTAAGAGCGTTAGATCTGAAACTCATTTTTACTGGTATCCCATAGCACTAATGGACTTACTTTTAATGCACCGAAAAAACTCACAAATCCATAGCTCTCAACTGTAAAATCGATTTTCTGTCAACAGTCCTTTACTCCAGTTTTATGCATCATGTAATCAATTTTTACAGCACTTCTGTTTCAAATAATTTATAATTAATATTATAAATAACGTAAAAAAACGTAAAAACTTCACCAATAGATTAGACAAACCTCCTGCGGAATTTATATCTAGAAGCTATCATGTCAGATTTAGAGATATTATAATCAAGCCTCTTCTCAAAGGGATTCAAAAGCATAAGTCCATAATGTGGCTTCACACGACTGAGTGCTACATATGAAAGACCTAGGCTTCTTTCTTGTTCTCCTATGTCAAATACAACTTTATCGAAAGTTAAGCCCTGCGACTTATGGGAAGTTATACACTGTGATGCATAGATTAAGGATGAGCATGAGCGACAACTATTGGGAATTGTGCAATGATTATGCAATTTTGTGGATGTTTTCAGGTATTTCAGTGATAGAGAACACGATAGTAATAGTTTGGTTAAGTATCAAAGCTTACTTTTTGAATTTCGTAAAAACGTAAATTTTAGGATATGACCAAAAAAGGTTACAGCTAACCTTAAAGATGAACTTTTTTAGATTTTTTCGGGTATATAGAGATGGATGGAGAACACGATAGGTATACTGACGGAACGTCAGAAAAAGGGTGTTTTTTAAGAAAATATCTTGACCGGAAGTTGGTAAGTGACAATGTATTTGTTATGAGCAAGATTACATGTGCTGCTATCTAAATACAAAACGGGAATGTATTCAGCATAACGGTTTGGTTTTTGTACTCAAATTAGTTAAAATGTGTTTTTAAAGGTTAGACCGGAAACGGAAGTGTTAATTAAAAAATTCTGCCCTTTCAGAAATTTCTCACTTGCTCAAGAACTATTATGGTCAATTTGAAAATGATTGGGCAATAGCTCTGAGAGTTACTGCAGTGAAAGTGATTTTTTGAGGAAGCGTAGGAGGTATCTTATAGTCTTCGCTTCGCTCAGACTAATTAATACTTTATAAAAGATACCGGTTAGTGTAAAAACTGTACTAACAGAAAATAACCGTCGTAGTTCATGGGTCAAATTGAAGAATGATCTTTAGTGATAATAATTTTATGCATATGATAACTTGTTAACCCGTTAAGCTATACCATACGAGTTTTAACTTCCTAGAATCAATGGTTGGTTTGTAACTCCAAATGTGTAGAAAAATGAAAAACACTCTATTAATTGTTGCTGAAGCAAAAGTTAATGCATAACTGATTATTAAACTAATTATTATGTAATGCACAATAAATAATTAATTTGAAGCTAAATGATATATTGGTTACAATCGTGCAAAAATTGAAAGATAATAACGCAACTTATTACTATTTCATCAACATTGGTCAGTCAATATAACTATCATACCTGAATATTCAATGAATTATCGTGAGTTAATTGAATATTTTAATGGATCAACTACAACTTACTACTGAACCATTTATTATAATAGTTATTATTGACAAATCTTAAAAAAATTAACTTACATGGTTAAGTTGGCGAAAACTTCACGTTTACTTCACCTTGCGATCATCTTTTGGCATTCGCAATAAGCATTAGAAGAAGCATCGCTATCTCAACTTGAATCTAGGATTTATTAAAAACACTCAAAGTTAACTATATTTTTATAGCGAATAAGATTATCATTTTAAAAATTAAATCAATAAAAGTTATAAAGAATCATTATTTCAAGTCGATGATTACGTGAGTATAAAAATTAGAGAAAACAGATGTTTTCAACGATAAAATGGGGTAAAAATGAGAAATAGCTTATCAAACGAAACACGGAATGGATGTTTTCACAAATATTTTTTAGGGTTCTGCAAGTTATTATAAAGTCAAAGAATTACCTTTATCAAGTTCATTGTACAAGTATCAATGCTCGCCAATATCCTGAATAATTTACGCCCAGTGAGATATTCCGTAGTTACCAAAGCTTTGAATCTCAATGAAAGTGGCATTTGCGTTGCTTTAAACTCATTCAAGTACTGTAACTGAGCAATGCACCCGTCAAACTGTCAACATTTAAAAATAAACAAAAAGCATTCGTTAAAGTACAAAAAACTCAATTTTTAAGATTAACCAGTAACATCATTCATCTTTTGGCTCAGACGGCTTTCGCTAAACTGACCCTAGACCGAGGAGAAATATTGAATTGTGACTCATTTGAACCTTTATTAACTCAGCATTTTCCTATTATGCACAAAGCATTTCACCATTTGACCAAAATAAATCTTAAAGAAGATTAGTTAGAACTAAATTTCGTTAATTCGACTATTCCTTTCAAAATTTGGTATTGGTCAAAAGCACAAACAATTGGTTTTGTCAATATCATGCAAATTAACTGGAATACAAGATATTTGCCTGATTGCCTACCTTGTGTTGAGCATAAGTTCCCGAAATAAAGTAAATCAATTGCCCATAAAGTATCGTTAGGATACCGAGAATTTGAATGATATACTTTGTCGACCCATTAAGATGGACGAAAAACATGCAATACAAACAGATGGCTTCAGCAATAAAAGTTGCTACGAAAATGGTACTTATAGTTTTTTCCATGAGTTGGTTAATTTTATACATATGCTGGGCCAACAAGGTAAGTCGAGATGTGAAACGTTCCATGGATGAAGTAAAATGTTCACAACACTCAGATCGAGTTGAATAAGCAACACTTATAGCGTTTTCACCGAGGAGAGCGAATTTACGACCATAAATGTACAAGTAGAATGCGTTTAAAACGGTAAAATTAATCTCGTAAGAGCCAATGAGATAACCCTGAATGCCTGCAGTAAAAGTTAAAATCAATGTATATGGTAACCATTCGTGTTGTGATCTGATAATTATTGGTAAATGAATTGAAGCCGCACAAAAAGCACCAGCAACTAAGTTGAATGTGAGTAAAATCTGTGTCAAATGTGAAGCATTTCTAGTTTTAATGTCTGAACTTAAATAGGGATTTTCAAGATAGAAAAGTGGTTTGATCCAATGTTGTAAGTTTTTTCGATAATTGGAAAATTCAAGGAGACAACGTGAAATGATAGCCGCTGAAAACCAGCCAAAACAGCAAGCTAAAAACCAAAAAGACGCTTTGCCCATGTGATAGCTGAAGTCGCCCAATATTTTCGAGTAAAATGGATTCTTATTATATAATAATAAGGAAAAGCATCGTATTGTTCCAAAAATCATTATCGGAAGGGAAACAATATACATAAACCAGGAAAAGGAATATTTGATGTAGAATCCATTTTGTATGTAGATTATTCTTAAACAATTCATTTTGAATAATCGTGATAAAGGATAGACAATCTGATTATTATTCGTTATGGAAACAAACACTTGAAATAAATATTTCACTAAAATAGTAATAAGTGACTCAACTTTTGATTTTGACAATGGACTAACTTCAAATGACGGCGACTTGAGCATGGAATCCTTGAATAGTTTACTTCGATAATCACGGTAAGATTTCATCCTTTCACTTTAACTTCAAGAAATTAGACGATTTCCTTTGAAAACTGGTTTAAAATAGGAAATTTCATTTGCAATATTCTTAAAGAACCAGATCAAGATTCATAATAAAAGCATTACAGTCATACAAGATGATATCGCAAATTTGCTAACATAATACATATATTTTATTTACTGGTGGAGCATACGAATTCAAGTAAACGGAAAATGTTTAGAAAACTTGCAAAACTATATTTTGTTCACTCACGAGATGAAGCAATTATGTTTTTCTTATTTCTTTACAATATTTTAAACTATATTGAATATGGATATTAATCATGAATAGAATAGATGAGAAGTTAAGTTTGATGGAATTCGCTCTAAGAATAATAATTAGGAGCTGTCTGATGATATTATATTTAAGCCTGCTGTTAAGATTTCGGGCATAATTCATGTGCGATTCAGTTGCTTTACATTTTTCAACTTTAAAGAAGGATAGCTAAAAACGGCCTCCGATTCAGAATTAAATAAACCATGTTGTTAACCTATTGATCTGTATAGAAGGCAATTCTATCTACATTTTGGTTCACAATTCGTCTTTTCGACATTGTATACGTGTCCTGGTGCCCAATCTTTCGGGCAACGCTGTGCATGATACTGATTTGCTTTGTTAGCCACCGGCATATAACATCTAAATTTTGGAAAGTGATTGGGATCTTCACCAGACTGAACCCAGTCAGAATACTATCTTCGCATATACCATAAATTGTCAAATGAAATCCGATAAACGGTGAATAATAATAGAAAATCGTTAAGCAGTATTTTCGTCGATTCAAAGTGATTCATGCAAATATACTACTAAGCAACTGCTATTATATCTAACAAGGGAAGGTTCCCAGACGCTACACTAATTTTTAATTTTTTTGACCTCAAAATGTTCAAATGGGTCAGATATGAACCTCTGTCAAGCCTTTCGTTTCGCAAATGCCCCACTCAAAAGTTTCAGGGTGTCAAAGTATCAATTTTTGCATAGGTTAAGCCTATTGAATGCAATGTACATTAAGAAATACAAGAAACTGCTGCGATCATGGCTGATCGCAAGTTTCTTTTACCCACCCATGCTAACCGTGCTAAGCTTCTTTTTCACGGTATTTTCCACCACCAAATCTAACACATCCGCCAGATCAAATCAAACATCACTTTTTGTCCACTTTTGCCCGTTTTTGGTGGTGGACAATACGGTGAAAAGACCGTGAAAAGACGGCAAAAAAGGTGGAGGAAAAAAGCCGGTCACCTCTTTACTCTTTACTCAAAAAACAAAAGTTTTACATAAAATCCTGGTCTAACAATGAACCATAAACCTGAATAACAAAAATTTTTTTCCCCCTCACTCAATGTTATTGAATACGGATTCTACAGTTTTCCCCAGCCTGTATTTTCATGAATTTCTCAGAGATCTGAATTCTGAGGTGAGGTTTCCTATTTTTCGTGGATGTAGTTGAATTCGGGCTTTCATGCTGTGTAATTTTTTTTCTTAGAACCCGCACAGTTTGGCCACAATCTTGACACAAAAATTTGATACATTGACTTTATATATTGTGTAGATGTGTAGATTAAAAACCAGATTTTATCATTTCACCATAGATCCACATTACTTGCATTAAGCACATAAACCTATGGAAAAACGAGTTTGACACCCTGTAACTTTTGAGTGGGGCATTTGCGAAACGAAGTAAATGACACTTTTTCATAAGTCAACATGCTCTATCGATTAGTCCAAAAATCATTCAATTCTGATTGTAGCGTTTGGGAACTTTCCCTTGTAAGTATTATAACACCATCTTTTGGTAGTGATACGAGAACTTTTGTAGAGAACAACAATTCAATATTAATAAGATTCAAAAAATGCCAATCTTGCTGCTGCTTGCTGATTTTGCATCTAACTCGAAGTTCCGTCTCTTTACCAAATATTAATCCCTAAGACGATCAGTCAACCCGTTTATTTCAATTCATTTTGTATCTTCAAAGCCTTACTGTTACAACCAAACTGTGCTTCTTTCATAGCTTCATCTAATCATCTAATCGATTTTCATGTGTTTTGAATGTTTTAATTGAGTTTCGGGACACTTTATGTCACGACAAACCGCATCTGACTAATAACCCTTTCTTGTGCAATAATTTTATACCAATCAAATCCACTGCAAATTCAGTTGAATCCTGGGACTAGATCTTTATCGACTCCCTGCTCCATTAATATTTTTTTGTGTATTCCATCATAACCTGAATAGAAATCTTTCACCTTCTCAGAAATACCCATTCTCAATCCAAAAAGTCAAGACATACAGATTATAAAAATTTCCAAATTTAATCTTAATAGTTAATGACTCTTTCATGATTTTAAAATATTTTTAGGCTCAGGAATCCAAGCTAACCTTCCACCAGTTTCGTACATTAAAGCAATTGACGTTTGGATGGGTGCTTGCACTACATTTGTTTTCGCTGCTTTACTCGAGTTTACCTTTGTCAACTACCTATGGAGACAAAAATGCAAACAAAGAGCGTCACATTTTAGACAAACAATTACCAATTTAAAAGCAAACATTACAAACTCTACAAACAATCCAGCTGACCAAGCTAAAGTAAAGTTTTGATCAAATTATTGAATTGTTAATTAATAGATTTTTTCATTTCATCTTTTTTTGCTCTTTATATTCAAGAGAGACGAGGGAAAGACAAAAATGGTCTTTAATGGACCACCGAATGAACCAATTGGAATAACATTGACACGTCTCAGTGCAGGTGCGAATGGAGGCGGTGGTTGCAGTAGCAGCGGTGGTAGTAGTGGCGGAGGTAATGATCATTATGTGCGTTACCAACTTGGTGATGTACCCAAAGCATCTGGAATCGATAGAACTTGTCGATTTTTATTTCCAATGCTGTTTCTTGTGTTCAACACTGTTTATTGGCCTTACTATATTTACTAATTTAACGAACCTGTTGAAATGTTGAGAAAACAAAAATAAATTGAATATCAGAAAAACGCAAAACAAATCGTAAATTTCATTCAAACTACAACTATTATAAAATAATATCATAACTTAATATTCAACAGATTATCGTGCATTGTTTAAATAATTCAAAACATCAACTTGAATCTGTTTCCTAAACATTTAGTTATTACCTTGGGCTTAAAATGCGTGGTTCTCATCTTTTAGTCCATAGGTGCTCGTTCGAGGAGCCCATGGGCTAAATATTGAGAAGCTAAATTTTGCAAATTTGCCCAGTTTAAAGAGGCATTTCTCCACAGTTTTGTCTACCAAAATGTAAACAATACCTTAAAAGCGAGCATTTTGACCTTTTTTACTCTTTTTTGTGATTGGCACTGTTTCTATTATTAAATAAAAAAACGCCTAGAAAAATGCCTAATTCATTTTCAAGCCCAGGGCTATAATACGTGCGACTACGGTGAAAACAAAGTTACTTACATGATTAAGTTGATGGAAAGTTTGCTTCGCATTTTTATTATCTTTTGGCATTCGCGATAATCATTAGAAGAAGCATCGCTATCTCAACTTGAATCTAGGATTTATTAAAAATATACAAATTAAGCAATATCAATCTAACAGTATTTCATAGTAGGCAATAGATATGTTCATTAACATTAAGGAGTACTGCCAAAAACTTGAACACATGAGTTAAGTGTTGGGACGCTGTAGGTTTGTAGGACATAAAAACCGAGCCCATTAGTGTATTGAAAATTCATTGATTTTGATAAAAACGAGGTCGAAGTTGGTACTTATATTGTCTTGCACATTTAGTTACCAGATTTTTATCAAAATCATTTTTCTGGTTTAACGTTTTGCTTTTCGTGAGCGCAAGATTTAAAAATTTCGTGGACAAAAATTGTTGGTCAACGACCGAATACATTTTTTTACAATTTATAGCTCTCTTGATTTTAGCCATTGGCCTCAAAACTTTAAACATTGACATATCAAGAATGGGCGCACCTACAGTCAACATTCCATAAACAAAACTAGATTTTTTTATGGACTGAGTTGATTGAAAATTGAATGATTCAAGATCATAATTTGCTTTTATAAAGCAAGTGTCAAATCAAACAATGCTTATTTTATTTTTATTATGCTTATTTTAGATATTTTTTTCTCAAAATAGTACATTTGGTTGATCACCAAAATTTATATTACATTTGTAGAAATACGATTTTAATGAAAATTCTGGTCACTAAATGTACAAAAGACAGTCAAAATTTCAACTTTAATCTCGATTTCATCGAAAACTGTCGAGCGAAGAAATTTTTAAACAGCACTAATTGGCTAGTTTTTTTACGTCCAAATAAGTCTACAGCGTCTCAACTCTTAACTTGCATGTTTGAGTTTTCGGCAGTACTCCTTTTCAAAAATCAAATCAATAAAAAGAATTAAAATGCATTATTTTTAGTCGATGCTTACGTGAGGTTCAAATAAAAAAACATGTTTTAATGATAAAACAGGGTAAACTTAAAAATAGCATCTCGAAAGAAACAATCTATAGATATTTTACAAATATTAGGTTTCATAAAAATGAATATTTTTTATGATCAATCTCTACCTAGAATTCTACTCTATTGATTCGATTTCAAGTTATATGGTTTTAGAAATTTATAGGTTACTCATTGAATACGAATTTGGTAGATTTTGATCACAATCGATCGAGTACCAATTTCTATTCAAAACTATGGGAAGTTTAAATTTTGGACTTCTTTCATTCTATCGCTAATCCATTGTTAATTTAGGTCTTGTACAGTAAGGTATTTGTAATTTGACGCTTATTTTGACAAAAAATCAGCGCCAGCTATCCAATCACCAATGTGCAACGATTGGACTGTTATTTTGGTCCCAACTTAAGACTTCAAAGCACAATTTTTTCAAATCACTGTCTGGTTTCTCAAAACTGGATGAATGACCTCATATCCCACAATCGGTGGATTTTAGAGTAAAAATAAACTTCACCAATCGATTCCAGCATAGCAAGCTTTGTTTTGAATTAGCTAGAACAATTAAAAAACTTGCTTTGCATGCATTTGAGTGTAGTAAGTGGATGTATTAGTAAGTTGTTTTCAATGATAAAATAGCGTAAAACTAAAAAAATGGCCTCTCAAACGAAGCATGGAATGGACATTTTCACGAATTTTTTTCAGGGTACTTCTGGATATTAAAAATTACCTTTATCAAGTTCATTGTACAAGTATCAATGCTCGCCAATATCCTGAATAATTTACGCCCAGTGAGATATTCCGTAGTTACCAAAGCTTTGAATCTCAATGCGAGGGCCTTTTGCATTGCTTTGGACTCATTCAAGTACTGTAACTGGGCAACACACTCGTGAAACTGTCGACGGGCAAAAAATAAAAGAAATTGAAAAGCAAAAAACAATCACTTTTAAGGATTAACAGATAATAGCTCCGAGTTCAGCTGAATAAATGAGTAAATGAGAATAAAAAGAAAAACATTCATAAACTTGACTACACAATAAAAGAAGCGTCTTAAACATTATTTAATCAAGCCACACGAAAAACTTGTTAAAATATTCTCATCTGAATAATGAACAGTTGACGTGACATTTTGTTGTTCAATTTCACATATCTTTCAAAAGGGTCTATGACATCAACCCTTCTCGGAATACGACCATAAATAATTGTAAGCGTTGTTTGAGATACATTGTATGCGATAAACAAAGGTCAATCCAACAATAAGCATTCAAATTTATGAAATTTAAAATCTGGCTGTTCGTAGGAATTGGGTTCTCAACAGCTATTTATTAAAAATGGTATAAAATGATTGGTGACAAGCTTTGTAGGTCATACCTTAAATGATTAAGTATAATAAAAATGAGAGTTGAAACTAAGGTTTTTATTAATAGTTTTTTTGTTAATAGTTTCGAATGCGTCAAATTAATTTATTGAGGTTGAATGTTTCCCTGATATTGGTATTATCAATATATAGTATGCAATTAAATGTTTGGAGTTGAAAGACTGGAATACTGAGTAATAAATTGGGGATCAGAAAATATGATAAAAGCCAAATGTTCATTTCGTACGTATTAATAGCCTAAACTAGCATAAAAGCACAGCAAATCAGTATTTGAGCTACGTTATAACCTAGAGACGACTGAGAGCCGAGTAATAGCCAAAAGATACCATACGAATTAACTGAAATGTCCTTTAGTTTTTGAGTAATTGCTTACCTTATGTTGAGCATAAGTTCCCGAAATAAAGCAAATCAATTGCCCATAAAGTATCGTTAGGATACCGAGAATTTGAATGATATACTTTTTCGACCCATTAAGATGGACGAAAAACATGCAATACAAACAGATGGCTTCAGCAATAAAAGTTGCAACAAAGATGATACTTATAGTTTTTTCCATGAATTGGTTGATTTTATCCACATTCTGAGTCAACAAGGTAAGTCGAGATGTGAAACGTTCCAGGGATGAATTCAAATGATCATAACACTCCGATTGAGTTGGATAAGCAAAGATTATAGCATTTTCAGTGAGGAGAGCGAATTTACGACCATAAATGTACAAGTAGAATGCGTTCAAAATCGTAAAATTCATCTCGTAAGAGGCAATGAGGTAGCCCTGAATGCCTGCAATAAATGTTAAAATCAATGTAAGGGGTAACCATTCCAATTGTGATCTGATAATTATTGGAAGGTGGATCGAAGCTGCACAAATAGCACCAGCAACTAAGTTGAAAGCGAGTAAAATCTGTGTCAAATGGGAAGCATTTCTAGTTTTAATGTCTGAGCTCAAATAGGGATTTTCAAGATAGAAAAGTGGTTTGATCCAATGTTGTAAGTTTTTTCGATAATTGGACAGTTCAAGGAGGCATCGTGAAATGATCGCTGCTGAAGCCCAGCCAAAACAAGCAGTTAAAAACCAGAAAGATGCTTTACCCATGTGATGACTAAAGTCAGCCAAAATTTTCGAGTAATATGGATGATGAGGGTATAAAATCAAGAAGAAGAATCGCAATGCTCCGAAAATTAGTATCGGAAGTGACACAATATAGACAAACCAAGAAAAGGAATATTTGATGTAGAATCCATTTTGAACGTACATGATTCTTGTACAATTAACTTTAAATAATCTTGATAAAGGATAGACAGTTTTATTACTATTTATCAAAAAAAGGAACATGTGAATGAAATATTTTACTAGAATAGCGATAGATGATTCAACTTTTGATTGTGAAGATGGTTTAAATTCAAATGAAGGAGATTTAAGCATGAAATCTTCAACAGATTTACTTTGGATAGAACAGTGTTTCATTCCTTTGTCTTCAATTTACTGGAATTGAGCGATTTCTTTTATAAACTTGTCTAGATTGCAATAATTTATAGCAAGCTTAGAAATAGGAAAATTCATTTATAGTACACTTAGAAGAACAAGATTAGTAATAAAAACAATAGTCATACCGAATGACTCGCAAACATGTCTCAAATTAATGGAGTAACCAATTTTACTGGTAAAACATTCGCATTTAAGTATACAGAAAATGTTAGGAAAGCTTTAGAAATTATATTTCGTGTTCTCACGAGATGAAGAAATTGTTTTTCTTATTTCTTTGCGATACTTTCAACTGTATTGGATATGGTTATTAATCATGAAGAGAATAGAAGGTAAGTAAGGAAGGATACTTAAGGTAGGTATTAAGTGCTATTATACTATTCAAAATTAAGTTTGATGGATTTCACTTCGATGTGATGAAGGTGATGAGTGAAAACCTGTCTGGTCATGGAATTTTCAATTTTCATTTTCAGAAACATTGATTGTAAAAAGTTTTTAAAGCAGCAAAAGACTTGTAAAGAATATCTTCTTGCAAATAACAATCACTAAGCACGCAAACAATTTGTTAAATCAATGAGTTCAAAAGTGTTATTTAAAAAAACATCTGATCAGTAGATTTCAAAAATTGAGCTCCGCGTTAAACATCGATCGCCTTTTGTCGAAAAAGAAAAGCGGTTTTTTGCCAGTCATTTTTTGAAGAAAATTGTGCTAATCAATCGAAAATGTACTTAGTTTAAGCGGAATCCTCTGTTTCTG